GAGTTCTCTACGCTCGAGGACCTGACGCCGTTAGAGGTTGAAGTTCTTCGGCGGACAGCCGACCTGGGGATGATTTCCTATGACGCCACTCCGACATGCGATGTGGACGATAGCAGCGCTTCGGAGTCATGTTCGGGTTCCGAGGACGACGAAACGCAGACCTTTTCGGGCGTTCTTCGATTTGCGGTTGGGGCAAGTCGTAACCAAACCAACGTTTGACATCGCAGCGTTACCTCTGGTACGTGATGTCAAACGATGTCGCCACGTTGACTTTCGCCTCGGGAGAACGGGGGGAAGGCTGGTTCAGACATGTGCAACGAGCGCGTACCTACGACTGCGTCCGTTGCAACCGGAACGACCGCACTGCGCCGCGCGTACACACACCTGTAACCACTACAACAAGCGCGGCGGGTCGTCAGCACGGCGACCGCTTCTGTACGCCGCCGTCAGCTGTGTCAGCGGCCCCTCTAAAAAAGGGGACGCACTGCTACTCAATGCCGTAACAGAATATAGACAGACAGTTTTCTAGTCTAAAGCTTTATTATTTTTTCTTGATAGGCTTGCAGGGTACAGCGAATGAAAAAATTAAAATAAAAAGATGCAGCACCGTCTTGGACGATCACGACTCTAATACACGACATTGCAATAGTACAAATATCGCCACACGCCTTTTCTACGATTATAAAAGACAATGTAATCTTAGCAGCGATATAGCAACGTAGAAATATAATTTCGTGATCAGATAGACGTTGCGAGCGTTCAGGATTGCTAACACTAGTCACTTTTCTCCGGTGATGAAAACGCGTGAAAATTCGTATCCTTTATACGGTACGCGCCAGTAATACCTTGAACTTGAGCACACGCATGAAATGCGCCAAATCAGAAATCCGGGCGATGTTCGAGGACACAAATGCTAAGAAAGCACCACTGTAGTCGAAGTAAACAAACACGACGGCACGGGCGTTTCTGCTATCTTGAGAGTGCCGCCACGACATCGCCGCACGAGTAGGTGGATGTTCCCTTCTAGTACGTGCTGGGTTATCATAGCGAAACACGACGAAAATTCACAGTCAAGGATAGCGCTTTTACGCGGAACGATGAGCTTTCACCAGGCCGTCCATTTCGACGATCACCACCGACGCCACGTTTGCGGATAGAGGGAAGGAGCCGGCCGGCCCGCGACCGGCACGACCGGCCTGCAACGCGCGGAGATACGTGCGCTTCCGCGCATCCCTGGGGAACGGGAAATTCACCCCCCGCGGAGGAAGGCAAATAGAAAACGTAGTCTCTTGTTTGTGAAACGATAATTGCGCTATCGCGTATTCTAAACTAGAAATATTTTACGTCTTGTGAAATTATCATGCACAACATAATTAAATGAACTGAAAATTGTTTTTTTAGCGAAACTTTAAAAAGACCGCCAAAATTTTCAAACATACGATAATTTCATTGGTCCTCGCAAGTACAGAAAAGAGTCCGCACGTATTTTATTCCTGCGTGATTAATAGGCGTTTCTGCCTTCTAAAACTGAAGATATTCATTCACTGACACTTCCTTAACACCATCGCACCAAAAAGTAGCTTCTCCAAAAACCGCTTGAGTGTCCCTTTAAAGGGACCATGAAATGACCTTTTTACTTTTTCCAGATAACTTTTACATTAAACCGTCAATGTTCACTGAATGCCGAACAGGCATCCGTTTTCGTCTCGGTTTACTAACTTCTACACAAAAAATTATTGAAATATCGACTTTTTCATTCTCTCCAACTGACCGCAAAAGAAGCCGTGACGTAGGCCGTTTCCGGAACCGGAAGTTCTCTCGGCAGTAGGAGAATGGGAGTGTTAGCGGCAACGAGTTGGGGTGCGCCGGTAGGTTTTACTGCGCTGATGTCACCGACGTATTTCCTGAATCGGCGCCTCTCATCGCCGCATCGCAGCTGAGCGAAATTCAATAAGATATGTTGCGCTACAGCGACAGCATGGGACTAGTCCCATACGCCGGTATGCCTGTTGGGAAGTGCAGCGAGTCTTCCGGTGAAGACTCCAGAAGTCAACCACCCCGTCATTGTTGGCAGAAGGGCCGGCCCGTGTCAGTCGTTCGCAAAGCGACGTAGATGGCGTTTTTCGCGGCCTCGGAGATGCAGGAGCGAGCCGACGTTAAAAAAGATACGTTTGAACTACGAGTGTCAGCAAGAGCCACGTAAATACCTGTTTACACTCGGAGCGGACGCGCGCGCTTGATGGAAGTCTCGTATTCGCGCTGTTTGTAAGCGCTTCGGGACCGTTCTTTTACAATTGCAACTCGATACTGACGCGACACTCGACAAAGAAAGGTTGGACCGGGGTTGTACGTATACCTCCCACGAACTGTTATAGCTCGACAGTGACGTGCAGTCTGTCAGAATAAAAATGGCATACCAATAACAAAGTGTACATACCGTGTTACGAAGGTAATCCATACGGCGTTTATTTCAGCTCTATATCGCACAAAACAAGAAGATAGAATCGACGAGAGTCCCTTTTCGACGAGTGTTCGTCAACACTGCCTCGGAAAACAAGGGGAAGAGATTGACCTCACCTCTTAATCTAGAATTGAGGTCAGTGATCAAACTATAATACGGGAAGGGTCCACAAGGGTCGCGCGGGCATATTCCATTTAGCACGCCAGCCGGTCGTAGGCAGACGGTCTTGCGACGAAGCAACGCAGCGCCGAGTCGGAATGCCTGCTAGGCCTATACGCTTCGTCGGAGTCGGTGGATCCAGCGTTCTTGTTCGTCGTGGTCTGTTTTAAGTACTGTTTTCTTGCTGCTTGAAGTCGGCACGCGCGGGAAGAACACGTAGAAAAATAAACGTTCAGTCAGTCAGAGTTTTGAGAGGAAGGAAAACAAAGAAAATAAACGTTCGTCGCTGGCCGCCACCCCGCCACCCAAGTAACTGTCGGCCCTTCCCCACTGCGCACGCGCAGTAGTTGCTTCGTTTACCACACGATAGATGGCGCCTGGCTCTCAGCATTATCAAATTTGGCAATTTTCGCCACACATCTGTGGATCTGAATATCATTTAACAAAACTTTTAGGAAACATTCGCCGGCTATTTATTGTTTACGATCGCGGTGCTGGTGAGGTAGGCTCTTACCCAATAGGCGACCTGGATTTGGCTGACGTGCTCCATTTCCGCGGATGCATCGTAGTGAACAGGCGAAGGAAGGAAGGCGCAAAAGAGTCCAGTTTTCTTTTAAAAGTTCTATAGCAAATAATTTTTTTGGCTCCCTATTTTTGTGTTTTCGTGTTTCTTTTCACACCTTTTACGACGTGCGGTGGATGAAACTCGATTTTAAAATCATTTCATGGTCCCTTTAAAGTGAAGTAATATCCAGGTTTTTCCGAATCTCCGCTCTCGCGCATCTTCAGCGCCTACCAAAGCTACGCACCCGCACTCTTGCTATTTTAAGAAAGCACAAAAAGAGAAGTCACGACTATACATTGTTCACCCTTAAGATGAGGTTGCAGCCAATTCCACAAGCTCGAGAACCCGAGGTCACTGCTTTGAAGCGTTCTTTCGCAGAAAAAGCAATCGCGCTAGAAATGCACGATATATCAAAGACAGAAGCACGGGCTAGCTCGCGCTTGTAGCTTTGGCTGCAATCTCGACTTAAGTCTGAACGGAGTATAAACTCCATTCAACCTTAAGCTGAGACTGCAGCAAATGCCACAAGCACGAGATCTCGAGGTCGCTGCTTTGAATCGCTCATCCGCAGAACGAGCACTCGCGCTAGAAATGCACGTCGCAAAGCAGGGGCCCGGGCTAGCTCGCGCTTTGGCTCCAATCTCAGCGTAAGAGCGAACGGAGTATAGGAAGTATTCACTGGCGGCCATAGCTGTGTGCGCGACTGCTGAGCGCCTGCTGATGGTTAGCTTCCAGGGTTATTTTGCAACGTGCATTCCACACCGTCAAAATGGCCGGTCTTAGCAGCCTATTAATGGAGGCTCGTTTTGAGCAAGCGCTCTAGACAGCACCCACAAATATGTCGCCCAGTGAATACTTCTTATAATTCCCTCGATGTGTTTCTTATAAGTACCGCCAACCATTGCTGCGGGAACGAGCCGGACCATAGCCTCCTATATACTGACAAAGCCTGTCAGATCGACACGAGAAGCAGCCGCCGAAATGGAAAGAGTGATGTGGCAGACAACCAACAAGGGGAGAGCCACGTGACTGGTGCCCCGCTGCGGCGAAACGCTGAAACACACTCCTCCCCAGCGAACAAGTATGTTTCGGGTCCTCGCCGCTGCAAAAGCTCTGCGCCGACGTCTAGGTTCCCTAAAGCCCCTTGAAGTTTTAAAAGTAGCACAAGGTGCGTCGATGCACGAGGCACGGGCATCGTGCAGCCCTTGGGAAGACCATGGCAGCACAGCGCAGAACTGAGCTAAATTTCAGGCGCCATGTTCTTCCCAGAAGTGGCGCACGGCACGTGTCTCGAGCATTTCCACCACAATAAATGGCGCAACTTTTCCCAGAAAAGAGGGGCTTTAAGCGGGTTTCCCATGTAGCGATTTTGGCCTAAGAGCGGCACGATTTCTGCCGTCGCGGCGCTCTGCCCAGCCATCGGCCAAAAGCAATTCAACGCAGATGCTTCGTCACGGAAGCCGGCGGGGCGCTCAAGGTCAAAGCGGACGCGCCTCAGAAATAAAACACGAAGAAAAGCACAACAACGCAGATGCATCGTCACGGAAGCCGTGGAGCCGGCGCGGGCACCTCGCCTGCGCAGTGAGGAAGCGTGATGTCGCCGCCGGAGCGCCGTGTGAAAAAGCAAGACGTGGCGCGCTACTTATAAGAATGCGCTGCGTGTAGGAATGCTTTCGTCTTCTTACACGTAAGCAGTCTTAAGTGTGTTCGTTTAATTTTATTTAATTCGCTATAAACTTATTGTCTTTAATATATCTTAGAGTACGTGAATACAATCTCATCTTATTTGAAACGACCGCATTTTTTCTGGTGCAGGTTTACAAAGACGTGCTGCTCACCTACACGAGGCTCCAGACTGCCATAGGAGTCCGGGTGGGCATCTGCGTGCCGTCAAGTTGCAGTAAGGACGACATCTTCAAAATGTTAAATCCAGGTAATGAGTGAAACCGAAAGAGCGAGAACAGCTGTGACATATACCATTACTCAAGATCTCTCCAACGATCGCTTGTAAAAATCCTTATTGCAGAAAATGTTGTTGCACATTTTCGGCGAGACATAATGTCTTGAACAAAACCAGGAGATGATAAACTCAACAACTTAAATATTATCGTGATTGAGCGAAAAACGCAGTCGTGGGAGTTCGAGAAGCGGACGATAGGAAAATAATCGTCAATGGCGTCTGGGCAACGAAACAGTCCAACAACTTCTAGATAAGAAAAAGGGCTGACTTTTGGTGTCACCCGAAGGGGTGTCCAAATAGTGTACTTCGCAATGCGTGCAGCGACACTCTTCTAGCTTATTGCCGCGCGCAGGGCAAAGCAAGCAACGCTCGGTCACGGACTTCTAGAAGATTCTTGATTCTTTTTACTCGGGACGTAACTTTTATCATTTCCCTTCTACTTCCTTATTCTAAAAAAATGCCTGTTCATTCCAACCCCGAACGCTCGGCGCTCAAACCTTCTGGGGTGAATTTTCGCGATGCTGACGCACACTAGATAAGGAGCTGCGCGGGACCTTGTCGACTCAGTCCCGCAGTCGCTTCCTCTTACGCCGCCAAATCGCTGCCCGCTTTTCTGCTGCCTCGACTCTCGTTCTTTATATTCTTTCGCACAAGTTGGACGATTAAACCTTTCTTTTCAGTCCAGTATTTATCGCCTTACTCCGTGTCAATATGAAGTGAAAGTAGAAGTCAGGCCGTCCGTGTTCTGTTTGGACATCCACCAGGCAAACAACATGGTTTTCCCCCTCGCCTTCTCTGCTTTTCTGTGACGTCAGAGCTAGTCCAATTTGACGTCACATGCGAACTACCGATGGTGTGCCTGTTGCCTCTCCATCTGTACTGCCGTGCCTCGCCCTCGTATCATTCCCTTTCTTGTTTTCGGGATTAGATTTGAACAGCAGCCGAGGCCTTGAGCGATTGACTGACAGCGAGCAAACAGAGCTTGTGAGTGGCTCTCCGAACCAACGCGATGAGCATGCTCCATGCCTCCGTGAAGGACACAAGTGGATGTTTACGTAAAGAAGCTTTTTCCTTGGCAAAAAAACACGAACGGCAGCGACCACCGCACTCCATTTGGCGGAGTTGTGGTCGGCTGGTACCACAGTGGCTAGGACCCACTTATGTTCCCACTGATTGAACACTATTTTAGCCGAACGCTGTCGCTTTAATCGTCTCCAATCCACGCCCTGCGTTGATCTTCTTTAGGTAGCGTCGACAATTTAGCAATAAACGAATCTGTTATAAGGATATGTTTGTCAGTCCGTTGCCATGCAGCCAAGTGCTTATTTTCACTCCGATGGATGGCTTCATTTTTCTACTTCTAAGGTCCCAGGATCCAAGTCCCGAGACGACCAGAAAAGTTTATTTTTGGGTCTAACCAACATAAGGCGAGATAAGTCCGTGGTAATCAAAAAGAATTAAAAAACGACCGTAGAGTAAAGGTCGGAGTAGACCAATAGCCTACATCAGGGGTCTCCAAACCTCGGTCTGCGAACAAGATCCGGCTTACGGAGGCGTACCGGCAGGCTCGCCGATGGCTGTGGCCTTTCCAATGTGGCGCCCTACCAGCGACCGCAAACGACAAAAATAAACGCGCGTAAACTCAAGGAAAAACTGGGTTACGAGAACAAAAAAAAAACAAAAAACACCGCAAACAAGCATATAGAAGAAAAAATGAGAAAACAAATGCATCAGGGCATTTGTTCTTTCGCCATATTATTTCTTGCGCATTCCTATCACCAGAAAAAATATTCGTGGTCTCTTGGTTCATGTGTTTGTATCTGTGTAACGATTCCTCTGGTTTCTAATACGCGTCGTGCTTAGTATCATAACTGTTGTATATTGGCATCATCAGAACTACCTTTCTCATTAGTTTTCTGCCCTTTGTGAACATGTCAAAGCTCACATTCGCTTTGATTCAGGCCCGGTGAGTTTTTGAGGTCACAATAATGTTTAATGTGTTCATTAACGGAAATTAATTTAAAAAAAATGTATACGTATTCATTTAATTTACCAAATTGAATTATTTCTGCGTAGTTTATATTTTTGCCTTTAAATACTTATTTAGATTTATTTATTTTGTTTTCCAAATTTATGTTGAAATATTTACTATCCGGCATTTGAACTGCGGCAACTCCCTAATCCGCCACTTATCCGAAACGTTTGAAGACTTCTCACTTTCACTATTGCCAAGTACTTTTGTTTTGTTATGAAGTGATTTTTTTAGGCCTAGGTATTGTATGCGACTCACTTGATCAATCACGTGAAGTTCACGGTTCGACGGTAGTTTTTGCGGTAGTACCACCCTAACTGGGTCCTGCAGGCGTCCGTGTGAAGTTCAGCTGGTGTGTTTCCGCCAAAGTGTTCGTGTACAGGGACCGAAATTTACGCATTTTGCAGTGTGTCAATAAACAAATGACAATCGGTTTATCATTCATTTGTGTCGTTCGTAGAGAGGATAGGCACAAATAGAGAAGTGACGTGAGCAAAGCTGGAAATAAGTTGATATTGGAGCATAGACCCAAGATGGATTTAAGCTACTTTGATTCTCAAGGGGCGGGGGTAGGGGGAGAGGAATTGTTCTAATTTATTTTAGGGTCGGGACTGATGACCTTATGGACAACGAGAGGTCCGAGAACCCTGACTTGGGTAGCTGTGAAATCAGAGTTCGTTAATTTCAATTGAAGGCTAGCACCTGAGACTCAAGCAAGTCACTTAGTTTGACAAGGTGTCCTACGCATATGAAAGAAAATGTAATGGCACTATCAAGAGACAAGGACATTAATTACATTTGAGGCCGTGGAGGATGTAGTGCGCCCCGTAACAATATTCTCTAAATCCGGTTCATTGCTCTTCGTAACGCGTTCGCAGCGACGATATTCGTCAACATGAGTGACGGCAAATAAGTGCATTTCTCCACGTCAATTACTCCACCAAACGTGTTGCACATATTAGTATCTTGTACGTAGGTACGGTTGTGCGCAGGTGCAAAAGTGCACAACGTACAGTTTCTACTCACACATGTTTACAGATGGCTCCACCAGTGAATTCAATTCAATTGCTGCAGTTTCGTGTCAAGCAGAGAAACGATGTTAAGAGTTTAGCTCTCTCACAAAACGTCATCAACAGTGTCGAAATCGATGGTCATATACAAAACCCCATAGTACATAAATACATAAACATCCACCAAAAAGGTCGCCTTTGCAGACTAAAAATGAACTTCATAGTCCTCCAATCAATAATAAAACACGCTGTGTATTTTATAATCGTCTACGCAATTACATAACTTGCAAAAACCATTCTGTAGGACGGTCATGTTCATTTTCCTTGGTGGATTTCAGGTCACTATAGCCTCATCGGTAACCAGAGCACTAGCAATGCCGCAAGACACGCTAACAAAAATACTACAATTTTTGCGATCCTATGCTCCCAAGACAATCTGGACCGGCACTTCGTCAAGCGACCACGTAATTGGCATCAAATTTGTAGAATTCTTTGGATTTCTACCATATTTGCTTGAACTCTGAGCAACTTAATGTGATTTTTAAAGTGGAATTCGGTCTTCCTCGTCGAATAAAAACCACAGTCCAGAGATAACATATTGAAAAAGCTCTCGCAAGGAAGGTTTTTTTATTGTTAAACAAAAAAAGCTGCCAGTTAAAACTGTCCGACGCGTTGATTCTAGAAACCATAGAACACGTCCCCATTAAATGTACTACTCAGGCCACCGACATACAGCTAGGTGCTTTAGATGACACTGTCGAATCTGTATTATAGTCCACTTGCTGTTGACCAAATGCTTGGCGGGTTGGAATAAATTCAGTGCTCCGTAACAACAACAGACGCATTAGAATAAAATAGATTAGAATAGAATAGAATAGCTTTATTTGCAACGCACATCTCTTTGCACACAACAATAATAAAAAAACTGGCGGAAGCCTCAAGGGCTTGTGTGCCAGCAGCTCGGTTGGTGCCAAAAATGTGATAGATTTTATATTATGCGTACTTACCTAAAGCGTTTATATTTAAAGTAACATTTCTACAAAGTGACATCCTAAATAAATCACGAAAATATTAAACGAAGCAATCAAAAGCAAACCGAAGCAATTAGTTAGGGAAATAAAAATGAGGTATATAAAAATACATCTTACTGTTTTAAATGATTTAAAAATTATCTGAACTTCTGTTTAGAAGTTACAGAAAAAAGGTTTCGGAGGTCATTGAAGACATGTGGTACATAATACATGCGCATGCCTTCACCATCCTTTGTTCTGATTCGTGGAATGTCATACTGAATTGAAGGTCTGAGTGGCCGCTGTACAGTGTGCGGCGTTTTAATATGAGAATTTCAGAAATGTTTAAGTATGACCGTTTCCCTAAAGCCTTCTTCCAAGAAACAGGACTGGCACTCACCCTCTAAATTGTGAGATAATGTTACCCTAATCACCTAATCGCCGTTCATATGCACTTTCTCAACTTATTCATCTCGAGAATCTCTTTTTTTGTCTTTTTTTTTTTTTTCAATGTCCCCTTTCCTTTAGTGTAGAGTAGCCTCCTAGAGCCAGGTGCTCAGGCTAGCTTCACTGCCTTTCAATCATCCTCTCTTTCTCTCTTACGTTTTTTTTTTTTTTTTTTTTTTTGTGACGAAGCGCCTGTGTCAGTAAGCATTAACTGAAAATGTTAAACCAGAGTTTTGTTTATAACATCGCCGCGGGATATTAATTTGGATATTAAAACTGTTGTTCACAAAATGTGAGAGAGGTTTAAAGTTATCTATTTATTCACATTAGCCGGTGTCTACTAAAGCCAGAACACTGTGCAATTTATGCCGTGTTTTTTTTATGCAGCTGCTGCCAACCTGAAACTCGGCGTCCATGTAGCAAGCTGCGAAACAAAGGCCATTGTCACGATCACCGAAGAACAGCTCGTCGTCATGTGAGCTTCCTCATTCACAAGAATATGTTTCCAGTTCTTATGGTTTTATATACCTTGCCAGGGTTGTGTAATTAGTAAATGTGTGCGAATAGTGGCTAAGATCGACTAGCCCTGAGCCATTCGTAGCCTGCACCAATCAAAAGAAAGCAACGATAGCCGGTTCTCTTAGCCGTGTTGGAGCTATGGATGCTATTCGGTTCGATTCACTTTTCGAAGATTGCTACTAATTGGATTCATAAATATTAGAAGTGCGCGAGTAGTGGTTTGAATCAAATACAGTTGTGTACTTCGAATTCCTCCCGGTGCGAGAGAAAATCATGGCACACCGTCTTTTATTACTGCTGAAAATATATAGGAATGGTACAGCACCATTCGATTCAAATAGCGCCTGTACCATTCCTATATATCTCTATATAAAGCATGCATAATAAATATAGAACATACATAATAAATATCTACTTCGAGTGTAATACCAGCCACGCCTTGCTCTCATTGTGAATACTGTCACCGTCCAGCCACTTGTAGTATCCGTCCAAGTTTAAAGAACTAAGGTTTTTTTTTTTTTCGTACATATAACTTAATTCCGCTTTCTTACTGAGACAACTTTCCCTATTCGAGTTTGACGTGTGCCCTATATTCTTGCATGCATTAACGGCGAAGATAACTTCTAGATATAGTCTAAAAGCGTTTACCTGCTACAAAATTTAATCATACTAGATCGGGATTTATAAATCAGATTGGCGACAAAAGGCTACTTTGGCTGCTTTTTCATATAACTGGTAGTCACTCTTATCAGACATGTTCAACCGGCTTCGGGGTGCCTTTTGAAGAGAGGTACTTGTATGGTATACAGATCACCAAATCGCATTTTCTCCCGCCTCTCGCCTTTCCGTTTTCTAATTTGATAGTGGAAATCATTTCTTGATTTTTCTTTACATTATTTACAACAAAAGCGTCGAACGTAAATAAATATATACATAGTAGAAATTAAGATAGAATATCACCACGGCGCTTTTAAATAGGCCAAAGGGCCTGTTAATACACTAGTAGCACGGCCCCTTGGCGTAACTACTCAGCCAGACCTTTGGTTCGGTAACAACGGCTTCTTTCCGGATAAAGGTAGCGGTTTTATTATGGGTACCTTTGTCTGCTCCTGGCACAAAATGGCATATTCCGATGAATATCGACTACATAATTTGTAGTGATTTATTCACTCTTCATTCACCCTGCAAGGGACAGATGGGTGGATGGATATGTACTACTGAAGCCTTTGAATTTTTGAATTAGGTGGTGGCTTCTGCCATCTATAGCCAGTGTTTTCAATGTGAACTGTCGAGATGTAGTAAGCTGTATGCATAAAATAAGATATTCGAATCAAAGAGAAAGAATCAACACGCGTGGGCGCGCCAAGAATGAATTATGAACCTAACGTAGAGAGCCTTAATCCTACACTCTAAAAAAAGCCCGTGCGTCTGCTTTCCCGCACAACACCCTGAGAGCCAACCACCGCAACTTACGGAGGCAGCTCAGCGAATGACAATGCCGAAACATATGTTTAGACCAAAGAACGCTGTCTGAGTTGTGACATTAAGCAATGCAAGCGTGACGTTTTGCATTGCTTAATGTCACAACTCAGACTGCGTTTTTTGGTCTAAACATATGTTTCGGCATTGTCATTCGCTGAGCTGCCTCCGTAAGTTGCGGTGATTGGCTCTCCGAGGGTTGTGCGTGAAATTAGACGCACAAACCTTTTTTAGAGTGTAGAAAGAGAGCCACTCAAAGCAGGGAAAGTGTGTATAATTTAATTGTGGTAGAAAAAGAAGATTACATGAGATTAGAGAAAAATCGAGAGAGAAAACACCTTCTTGCTCAGACTGGTTGCGCGTGCGCATGCGTGTGTTGTCACAAGACCAGGGAGTCAACAGAAGGCGAAGGGGTTTTCCAGGGTTTTCCCCGGATCCTTGAGTCTCGAATTGCAAATGTGGCGCACATAAACAACGTGATTCCAATAAAGCAGGGCAGCTATTCTCAAATTTAATAATAATTGGGTTGTGTGTATGTTTATACAGCCTAGAACTTGGTCTGCCTCACAGGGGCGACGAGTCTCCCAGCTGTAGATGAGAAATTTAGCCAGTGCGGTACAACCGCTAGCCTGGGGTCTTTAACGTGCATCACGCAGTAATGATACACGACCGCACGCCGGTACGATGCTCATCCAGATCGAAACGGGCAGGGGTGGGGCTCGAACCCAGGATCCCTGGGTTCTGCAGCGCGAGCTTTCGCTCCACGTGCTCCGAGCTGGTGTGCGCTAGACCACTCGGCCGCCGATCCCCCCTATTCTCAAATATAAGCACTCTAACCCTGGGTTAACGCGGCATACATTCATACGGGATTCACTTTGCTGCAAACATATAGACCTTTTTACCCTCCGTTGCATGGGCTCTGCCGTCTTACACTTTAAGAAATGGCTGAGCGTATACGCACCCGCAAAACACTCAAAGAGTCAATCTCTGTGATCTACGACATGAGCTCAGCGAAGGATGAGGCTGAACATTTGTTTATACCTCAAAATGAAGTCAGCGCTGTGGCATTTCGCAATGCAAAGCGTCACGCTTGCATTGCGTAATGCCACAGCGCAGACTTCATTTTGAGGTCTAAACGAATGTTCCGCCTCATCATTCGCTGAACTGATTTCGTAGTTGGCAGAGATTGGCTCCTTGAGTATTTGGCGGGATCGTATACGCGCTGGCATCAACTTGGAGTGTATAGTCACCAGACGCGGTCGCCATAAGCTGGCATCAACTCTTCGCTCCCCTCGGCCCTCCGCTCCTAAAAAATGCGTTCTATTCGTGTTTTTCATCGCCTTTCACCACGTTTTCTTGTCCGGTGCTCGCCTTTACGACTTAATAGTCTGCCATCATTATGAGACTTCTGCAGTTCATTTTGTAACACGCCTCTAGTATTTTAATCGTCGGCGTACCAGATACCTCTGAGGAGAGAGGGGGCACAGGAATCGGCGTTAGCTCTGACGCACATTGACGATGTGCAACAGGAGAGCACGAGGGTTGAGTCCAGTTACTTATGACTTCTCAGGCTTGTTCAGTGACAGTGGCGGAACATTCGAAATAAGTAAGTAGCGCGAAATGTATTTATCATGACGCATTTAAGACCGTGAGTCAGCGAAAGGTACAACTATGTTTACTGAGAGTATCATATATTGCCTTCATAACAAGTTGAAAACAGGTGCTTAATATTAAATGGTGGAAATATAGTTAACAAACGTACAACTTGCATCTTAATTGGTCCTAGGCGTAACAATAACGGCGACGCCAGGCGATTCGATTGTTCGTGAGATTACACCTACATACTTTACACGTTCTGAATTGTTTTTGCGATATAAACATTCCCCTTATCAGCTTATGCAGTTGAAGAAACTGCAACGTGCTTGGTCCTATGTCCGCAGTCATTCAATTGCTTCAATTGAATGATCACTCTTTCCTGTGTTCTCTTTGCTTCCTCCTGTGCTAGAGCTCTGTTTTAGGTATGTCTTCCAAGTATCAGTTAGCTCAACTTTCTACGTTAGTTCTATAGTTTTTCTTCTTTTTTTTTTTTTGAGATGTGCAACTAAATTAGGTTATTTAACTTTTTTTCAAAACAAACATCTTGGCTGCCTGGGGCCTGAAATATGTGATGCCAAAAAGAAACCGTCTGCATGGAAAATAGCCGAGTACATCGTTGTTGGTGCACATAAAGATATACTTTAAAAAGCGGCTGGTGACATCAAACTTTACAAAGCGCACTCGTTCCCGAGAATGAAATACAGGTTTATCTACAGAAATTTATGATTTAGGGTCTGACATTCAACTTCGGACGAACTTGACGGTAGTCATTTTTCTGGCGTCCTTTAGTTTTCATTGACAAATTCTATGGGACTCAAGTCTCAGTCATCATTTGACGGGCTTGTCACTTGTATCATATCTTGAGTATGTTGTAAGCAAATGTCCGTATAACAAATAGTTTATCTCCTAATATCAATGTTGTGAAACGCTCTTAATGAGGATATCAGCAGAACCTATCATGAAAGAAATCCTCAATTCGGCTTGGCATATTGAATGATATATTAACTACTTACTTTAAGAGAAGCAACCTGAGACAGAGTCACTCTTCTTTAAAAATATGTGCGTCATTACTGGAAGCTTCCAGTCTTCGAGATTCACAAAACGTTGACGTCGCGAAAATCAAACAGTAAGCATGTAACTTGCGAGCTCATCTGTCCTATCGTGATTCGGCACATCGTTGATCAGATGTTCGGTCTACTTTTTTATCACACATTTATGCCTTTGTTTTTTAATTCATTTATTTTTCTGGAAACTAGTATCAGTGGGTACGGCCGTAAACGGTAGTAATCCTCCCTGTGCCTCATTGTAATCGTTTTGCCACCAAACCCGAACGAAATTAACGATGAGCTAGGCCAGGTTCATAAGGTGTTGTAAAAAAGACCGCCATCTTTACACAAGCCTTTTTCGATCAGCAGTTTTGCGCCGAAGTGAGGCATTGAAAATCAATAATTAGAGTCGTCGTATTTAGTATAATTTTCGTTCGCAACCGCTGTTTGTGCCATTTTCATTGGTAAGCGTTTGTCGTACACAGAGACGTATTATGGAGATTTGTGGGTGCAGGAAAAAAATGTCCCCGGAAAAAATGTCACCGGAAGAAAATTCCCCAAGCAAACTGTCCCCGGAAAAAAAAAAAAAGCTCCAGGCGGAAAGTCGGAAAAAATGTCCCCGATAGGTACGCTATCGCTGGGTTCCCCTGATTTTTATGGCCTTCGTTTTTTCCGGTCATATGTCCCCGGTGGAAAAGGCCCCAGGTGAGAAGTACGAAGAAACGGCCCAAGAAAGAAGCAAATATAATATTCCTATTTAAATATCGTACAAAACAATCGCTTAAATTTCCCCCAAAACAACGATAAAATTTTGGCTGACCATGTTAAAAATATTTATTTCACTATGAAAAAAAAAATAGGTTGAGATTTAATGTTACAAAATCAGGAATTAAATGACACACTCGAGATTCATATACAGTAGTCAGAAGCGACCGACGGTCATAGAATCCGCTTGTCCTGCTCACCACCTGGGGCCTTGGTTTTCGGGGACTTTTCTTCCGGGGACATTTTTTCCCGGGGACGTTTTGTTTTTTTGTTTTTTTCCGGGGGAATTTGTTCCATAACCTGGGGAGTTCATTTGATACGCAAAGCAAGAAATTTCCGGCTTTTTTATTATTATTATTTACGTGACGAAGTTCGCAATTTTTGATCAGTGAAAAGACGTCCTTGCAGGATCTCCCTGATGCTAATTGGGTGTGTGACAAGGCATTACTGGCTGTTATTCTGTGAAACCTTAACGACCTCAACTTAAGATTTTAAAGTAAAAGGAAACTCGTGACGAAGATGCTCTCAGAAACAATATTCCGAGCTAAAGCTCAAGTTATTTTAACAAACTTAAATTTCTACCAATAAAAAACCTCCAAGAAGTTGTTTTATTATTTTTTTTTTGTAGAATGTTTGTAAAAGCGAATATACTATTCCACAAAGAGACTCTCTTTAATATAGTACGTGATGCGAACGGGATTTTCGAATTCAGGTTCGCTAATTTACACTATTTCCAGAAATTAATTGTATGACAGACCTCGGCCAAGTTCAACAGGTAGATTGCGCTAATCTCCAAACAAAAAATTAGTTGAATAATTGATCTGAAATAAACAAATTCGTCAAGTTTTAGGCTGGCCTTTCTGAATTAGTTTTCAAATCTACAAAAACTGGCAGAAACCTTGATTCCAGTGCTCGCTATAGCAAGTGTTTCTGTGTTTTTCACCCTGGAGACTGGGAAAACAGAAGGACAGGACAACACAAATCTCCAAAGAAGGCTGAGGTTTACTTCACAAAACAAAACGTTAAAAAGGCTTCCAAGAGAAAAGAACCCAAACTGATAAAAAAAAATTATACCATTAACATTGAGCGTGCCTGACCAGTATGCACTTATCCAAAGAAAGTACACATCAATCCTCAAACCGAAACTCCGCAACAAGGAGTTAGTAGAGTTCACCATGAAACGAAGACGAGCTGCTGACAACCAAATCGAAGTGACAAATCAATTAACCTACTGATTAATCGATCAATGATTTATTCGTTATTAGTTTTTCACCGGTTAATCGGTTAAATTTGACGACCATAAAAGTAAAAATGCCACGATTTCACCACGCAGGCGTGGGCGAGTATGCCTGTATGGAGCCAAACTTTTGGTGAAATTTTTACCTAAACTAATCTGTAGGGACGCGATTCGTAACTGGAAACGAGTATTCTCTTCAACGCCATGCGAACGTCCGTTTATCACAGCAGAGATATTTGTGAACAAACAAAGGGGTTCGCTATTGCCGGAGAATATCAACGAATCCGTGTTCCTCTGCGTTTGAAGTAATAATTTGTGAGTGTGGGTGTCTTTTGACTGTTCTCAACTACACATCAAGGTACATTTAAAATCTGAAATTGAGTATTTTGCTGTTCATCACATATTTAGCAAAGGCAACTAAAAAATTTAATTTTAATTTTTTTAATGTCATGGATGGGAATAACCAAAACCGAATAATTATTTGATCAAAAGGTCGCAATTAACCCGGATAACATTTTTAATCGATGCCAAGACCCAAGTGAAACGGATTTTTTTTTATATATTGCTGCCTATTGCGTTGAATTTCTCCCACTCTCCCCTCCCCCTTTCCCCGTTTCTAATCCGACCCTCTCAGTCTGCGCTTAAAGGCGCGTTCACACTCTTGCAACCGAGTACGACCGAGAAAGACTTCTTGGGACCGGATGCGCTGAGCGGAGCTGGTCCTAAGAGATCGCAAGAGGCTTAAAAACCGGTTTGGTCTCTCTCGGTCGTACTCGGTTGCAAGAGTGTGAACGGACCTTAAGGCGATTCGGGCCGGTCCAGCGAAAGGGGTCCGACTCCTGTTCTATACTGTAGCGGGTGTTTCAGCAAAAACTTGCAAAACTTCTTACCAATAGGGTAGTTGAGAGAGAAAAAAATAAAAAAACACTTCGGGAACAAACGCCAGCCACGGCGGACGTCAGGGATTAAAAAGCAAACATTCTAATTAGCGATATGTTTAAGTTAAATTTACTAATTGACTTTCTAATAAAGAAAATACATATATGGTTATAATAAAGCAAGTTTGCTAAGCATCGTCTAAAACCTTCAAATCAGTTGATTCTATAAATACCAAAGCACGTGTGAAGCTCGGGGGTGCTCTAAAATGTCCACTCGTGCAGCTGTCACAAGGCTGGTGATGCAAAACCATGAATGATAAAAATATTATCTGTGTTTTCTCATCACCAACATTGTTCCGTGCTTCACCCTTGCTTTAAGCGCTAAAAATTGATTGATTTAGGGGTCTACGATGACACTCGGCAAGTTTCTAATTGAAGCCATATGTTAATTTTCACTAGTTAAAAAGTTACTTAATACATTTTAGTTATTTATATATGTTCTTGCTATGCTTCTTTGCAATCCTTGACGTCCGCAAGACTGGAAGTATGTTCCCGAAAAAAGTTTGTTTTCTTCACAACTCCCTTTTTGGTATGAATTTGTTTTGTATTCGTTAAGAAAAAACCGGCACATACATAAGTAAATTGAGTCCTCACAAGGCAACTCCAAGGTAAAGCACAAACAAGCGATCTTACAGTGTAAATACCTCATTTCGGCAATGAACATTTCACCTCTAAAAAAATGTATTCAATCTCGTTGGCTGGCAATTGCATAGGTTAATCGAGTGAAGTTAAAAAAATAATGATACATCCGTTAAAAATATTAGTATAAATTAAAATGAAGGTGATATAATCTTGCCTCTGCATAAATATGCGTGTATATCATAATTTAATTTAATCAACTTTGCGTGAGCCGATTCACCAAACAAGTAAATACTTATCGTAGCTTAGTTGTCGTTATTATCATAGCTGTCGTACGATGTACCTTTTCTTTGCTCGTACGACTGGACTTCTGCGATTATAATTGCTTTGGCCGGTACGTGAAACGTTATCGACCACCACACTGTTTACAAAGAAGTCCACATTTGCCCGCACCGGGTGCAATCTCTGCGCGTGCGAGAAAACCAGATTCGCCCGAGGCGAACCATCTGAGCATGTACTGTGCCGACAGCAGCGCCACCACAGTAGCGTGACGTCAGAGAGTTTGGTTGGTCTATATGTGTATGGTAAACCCGCCGGGTAGTATGAATTTGAACAAATCTGTTACAAATACTTTTTCAGTACTTTTACTGTGTCCCAAAACTAACTAAAAAAATACATCTGGGTCTCTTTGGAAATCTGCGGCTGTTTCAATAAAAAATTAATTCGTTCGTGCCAAACTGTGAGGCTTTTTGTACAGGATCTATCAAGCTGCAATTTCGACACGAATAATAAACGTTCACAACATGATTGTTCAATGACGGCTCTCATCGATGTACTTACCCGTTTTGTCACTAGTCCTATGTCCCTTCCGCGCGTTTTTGCCCCCTTTCAACGAAGCGAATGAACTATGTTAATAGCAACGAATATGACAACATGCGCCTTTTTGTTTCTTCCAGATGTATCTTTGGACTTTTGGGAACACTGCTTCTCTGCGGAGCGCTACTCGAGATCATTATTAACACGCTGCCGAGGCCACTTCTCTCTGATGACTTCAAGCAAAGTACGTTTCATAAAGTTTTTGTACTCAGGGGTTGAAATAGATCTCATTGTTTTCCAGTAATTCAATTGTTCGATACTACTCAAGACCCTTAAGGACAAGCTCTTCGCGGCTTCATGTTTATTTCCTCAAACTTACAGTTAGGAATGGTACTCATACAAAAATGTTTTGCATGTAACAATTTTGAGTTATTTTAGGACTTAATGCTCTTTATAATTTAAATGGAATTAGTCCCTACTTTGGGCACATACAACATTTTGAAGGCGAAATTGAGAGTCTACTTACGCCGACCAAATGGCAAATAGAAAGACTTGTACTAATATTAAGGTTTCCTACTTTGGTTTATCTCAAAACAAAACGCATTAGTTAAAGCAAATGAATACACCAAAAATTGACATGGCAGCTTGAATGGTGCCACATAATTATTGGGAGTGTGAGCAGCAAGCAAAACAACCTCCAGAGATCCCCACTCTATGAATGCTGAAGATTAGTCAAAACGATTACTACAATGCTGCATTACTCCAGAAAAGGCAAAAAACCGAAAAGTGTAAAATCATTTATTCGCATGTTTCTGTCCAAATGTCAACTTATGAGTCGTTGTGTATCAAGAATAATCTTTATTGGCTGAGAGTCCAACATATCATAGTATGAAAATGTTATCACGTTTATTGATTCACACTCAAGTGTCCTTTCGTGATCCTTTGAAACTCCCACAGCAAATGCATTTTAAATATTATTGATACGAATATTATGGAACATTCGGGGAGCTCCCAACTTTCATGCTGATATTGTTTATCGCGTGCCCAAAAACACCCTAACAGTTTTGACATTTCTGTGGAAAATAGCGACCCAATTCACAGTAGCTCGCTGTGAGTTGCCGTGTCCCTGTGTCCCTCCCTGTCCCGTAACTCAAAGCCCGCCATTGTGACGTGCGGGCCCGCCACGTCGCAATTAAGGGCCCACCATGTCATTCAATGGTTTCACGCCGGATATCGCTTTTTTTTTCTATTTGAAAATTCTGTGTTTTGAATAACAGTTTTAGGTTGAGCTAGTTGGTACATATCAATACAGGGAGCTCAACTTAAACATGGGACAAATACGAAGAGAGGGAACGAACATACACAGGGCTAATGCCAACCCGCAAAAACTATTTTTATTTTATGTTGACTGCGATGAATTTTGTCCTGACAAATTCGCCTTCGCGTTCTTAAATGGCCTTAGCTTCTGAGATATCGCGCGCAAAGGCATTCTTGCTTCTTCCAATGATAATTTTGTTACGAAAATGTGCGCTGCTTTTAGAGGCGCGGTAATGGACTGGTAAATGCCCTGCTGCTGTTCTCTTCGGCGACGCTTGTTTTCTTTATTGTTTTTTTTATTAAGGTCGACTCATTCTCCTATATATATATTATATATCTAGTAAAAACGATTTATTGCGGGATCATAGCTATGGGCGAAATTACATCGCGATCTGTTAGAAAGCCGTTTTATGCAATCCATTAAACGGACCATCGAAATCACGCAGTATATAATCCAACTGATACAAGGCAAAAATGTTATTTTCATCGAATATCATTACGTAACCGGCGAATCAGCTTGCAGTCCTGACTACAAGCGTCGAAAGTGCATACCGCTCTGCCAGGATCGGCTCGCGTTGATTGACCGATCACATAGTAAAATGTTTTAAAATAGGGGTCCCCAATGCTTTGGGCGCCCCGAACAACTTTATCGCACTACGCATGCGTAAAAGTTACCCGTACGCGCAGTGCGAAGCCCCAAGCTGCTTAGGGAACCCGAATCTTTGCAATCGTCTATTCAAGAACTCCCTATGACATTCGACGGAAATGGCATTAGATTTGCCGTGTGGTAGTAAATATAGGTAAGGCTACTCTTGATTTCTCTTGAAATAATATATTGTTTCTCTTTTGTACGCAGGGGCAAGAAGAAGCCTATTAGCGGCGTTCGGGCCTTTTCGAAATTTCAAGCAGCTCCTTTCGTCCGAAGACCGGGCGTCATCACTTCACTGCCTGCATGGAATTCGAGTGGTCACCATGTTTTGGATTGTCCTCACGCAAACATACCTCAACCTGGAGTTTCAAGCAGTGCGTAGGTACAATTATATATTTGCATACTCTTCGGAACCATTTATGCAACGAAGAATGTTTGAGAAGAAAAGAGCCTACCTTAAGACGTTGGCTCATTAGAATAAAACTTTGCAAGTTTGTTGCACAATCCTCGTGCACTCTCTTGCAGAAATTGCGGGCCGCAATTCCCCAAAAAATGTCCCGAAAACATTTCACGTTACGTGACCTTTTCTTTAAGGCAATGCGCGCGTCTTCTGGCAGTACATTCCTGAATGTGACATTGAACTGTTGCCCAACCCACCTTACCCGCCGGCTCAGGCACCGTTAGATTTTCGTCTGTTCCCCTTCACTCAACCGACATCGGGAAAAGCAGCATTTCCACAGCGATGACGGCGTCATGAACGCTGTGCGTGAATGGCATGAGGATCGAGAGAAAATAAATTTTCTCACGGGTTGGTAGCATTACTGAACCGTTGAGAGAGGTGCATCACGTTTAAAGTCGACTGCGTAGAAAAGCCTTAAAGTGCCAACTGCCTGTGGGAAAAGTACTTCTCAAACATTCCTCATGCGCATTGTACGCTTTCCGATATTTTGAAATGAATTACACGTTGAAAGCAGAAGGCGCTTTGCTTTAACAGATTCCAGGACAGAACGTTCCGAATATGCGAGGTGGACCCTTGAGCGCTTGCAAAGTATTGCGAGTAAATCATAGCACTGGGAGGGACACTTCGCTCTACGGGTCACTAAACAACCCCACTGTCGTCGGTTCGGTGGCCCGACAAGGACGGTGTGAATTAAAAATACACACGCGTCAAAAACTCTACTTGCTGATAAAAGAACAGTCTCAAGTAAAATAAATAGCCTGGAAAGTGTGTTTGTCGAGCTAGTAAAAAGGGAAAGGGGGAGGGGAAGGGGCACATCGCGCTACTTGCGCTGCAGCGAGCAATCTCGCTTAGAGGGAAGCGACAGCTTTGGTGGTCAGCTTGACTAAACTTTTCAAATCCGGTAAAGAAAGTCGTCGCTCGATCCAAATGGTTCAGTCATATGCTTGCGTCTATCCGTTCATTGAAGGAAGCGAGGTAGAGAAGTACACGCGGGCGTGCTCGTAAAAGCTAATGCAGCATTCCAGCCACGCTCGGGGACAACTTTCAATGGCAATGCAGTCATAGGTGTGAGAACGCGCACCCTCGACCCTGATTTAGCGCTAACTAAAGTTGTGTGTGCACGCGCTCTCCTCCTTTCCTCCGAAAGGCCACAAAAAGTTGTTCCTGAACACGTTGGATGAAGAAATAGGTATTGGAACAAGGCCAGAAAGGGGGTCGAAATTCCATGCGGAGTTCAGGCATCTTCCGACAAGGGCACTGTTGGGTTAAGGCTCCGCGTGCAGGCGCGGGCGCGGTCGCGCGCCTCGCGTCCTTGAAAGCGTGTGCGCAGTTAAGGACAGTTCCTCGAGCCCCTATCATGCTGCGCCACCCCACGGTGTTTGTCAGAAATGGAAGCGAACCTGCGACACACTTGCTCCTCGGCGGGAAGTCGCCGTTCTCTTCTCTTCTTTTCCAGACCTTATCACCCAGACGAAAAAATGCCAAATTACTGGTTTTTGGAGGAATGTCTAGCGTATAATATTACGCAGAAGAGAGTTACTGCGCATGCTAAAATGGCGTTCCACAGCCCCGTAAACAAAATTAATAATGTGCAACAGGTGATTATCAGAGTGCTCTATTGAACCTCCGCCCAAGATGCGAATAATCGTCCTGTGCATTACAAAGCGAGTCATTTTCGCAGCTCTCACTGTCAAAGCGATTGTCTTCAGCAGTTCCGACTGCTGGATCATGTGCTCCTGTTGTAGTCTAAGCATCTGTACAAGGCTAGTTCCTTCGGACGGCGGGCTTACCGACACTGCAGTTTCTACAAGAATAAGCCTTTGATGGTCCCATAGTTTCATGTTTACCGTTCATTTTTCCGTGGCAAAACTATCTTCCATGCTGCGGACTGACTCGCCACAAATATACTGAAGGAGGTTGCTGCTGCTAGCAGTCAGTGGTAGAACACCCGGCTTCTCGTCTTGCGGCTGACTTTTGGTGCAGTGAAGACTTGCCAGGTCATAGTTTTGATTTCAAATGTCACCTACATCGTGCAATGGTGTCAACTTGCTGAAATCCTCTCAAAGCTGCCATGTTGTAGAATTAAAAGATTCAAAACCCGAGAGACCGGTTAGGAAAGAACACTCGCCATCTTTAGGGGTTTTTTTCTATTTTTTTCTATCTTCACTTCCTACACTGATTGACGTGTTCATTTGTTTCCTTAGAATATTCACTGCCTTTAAAACTACCACTTCAACATGGCACATTAAACCACCAATGAAAGCGATAAATTAAATATTATGGTCAAATATCTATCTTCTCAGGACGGTTATTCGCACCCCTTTCCCCTCTAATTTCCGCCATGCTCCATAAACAAAGCGAAAACAGCCACCATCTAAATTCTGTACTCTCTAACAAAACGTTCGAATTAAAATCACACGGCTTTATTTTAAAAACTTGGAAACAACGAAAAAAAAAATAAGGGAAAGAATGAGGAGTGAACGAACATAACGCTGACTGGCAACTGAAGTTTATTCCTGCGAGGAACAGAAAGGAAAACATAAAAGATGCAAGATAGATAAAACACAATCCACCCCCTTCAGGCACGCCCGACCACTTAAACAAATCTGCCGAATTTCTCAATGAAAGCCACTTCGTCATCCGCCAAAGCCACGGACGGAGCACTAACACACGTGTCCGCTTCGTAGGTAGAAATAAAAAACGCCTCATCAATTTCTCTAGTGACTTTGTTGTGCTGACCAGAGGTCGGCATTTTAGGTCGCCTTTATTCATCCTCACGGCACTCGCGGCCCTCACGCGCTGAGGCCCCTCCCGCTCTCATGGCCCTCATGCCCCTTACGCATTCATGGCCCTCATGCCCCTCACGCACTCACCACTCTCACGCAATAATACGCCTCGCGCCCCTCACGGAAATCATGGCCCTCACGCCGCTCACGCACTCACCACCCTCACGCGCTCACCGCCCTCACGCACTCATACTCCTCACGCACTCATACCCCTCACGCACTCACCGCCCTCACACACTCATGGCCCTCGCGCCCCTCACGCACTCATGGCTTTCACGCCCCTCACGCACTCACCGCCCTCACGGCCATCATAGCCCTCACGCTCCTATGGACCTCACGCACTGACCACTCTCATTTCCCTCACGCACTCATGGCCCTCACGCCACACAGACCCGCTTCAGAGGGGCAATTTCGCCCAGAAACTTGACAAGTTTCTGGAAACATGTCAAGTTTCTAAATAGTGCAAGAAAAGTTTTTTTTTTCTCACTATTTATAAACACAATTACGCGCTATAAACGTCTTTTTATGCATTTAAATCTGATTGAGAATACTAATGCATCTTTCTGAAACAGTTTATTTCTAAAGACGATCAATTTCAAACCAGAAAGAAGTCATCTGTTGTCATCATCACCGGCACGAGGTATCGCGTGAAAATATCACGTCCCTGATTGGATGCAGCCGCTTCGAACGTCCTCGAATTGCTCAGAGTTGCTCTGTTGTTTTGAGCCAGACCCGATCTCAGCAATTCGTGTCGATCCAGGGAAGGCAAGGAAACAACCCGCCAGCAACATCAAAATTGCTGAAAAGTTGCTCCGTCTGAAGAGGGCCTCACGCACTCACCATCCTCACGCCCCTCACGCACTCAAGGCCCTCACGCCCCTCACGCACTCATACCCCTCACGCCCCTCACGCCCCTCACGCCCTCATGGCCCTCACGCACTCACGCACTGACCGCCCTCACGCCTCTCACGCACTCATGGCCCTCACACCCCTCACGCCCCTCACGCACTCACCGCCCTCACGGCCCTCACGCACTCACCGTCCTCACGGCCCTCTCGCAGTGACGGTCTTCACAAGCCTCACAACCCTCACAGCCCTCACTCACCCTCACACTCATGAATGTTCCTGGTTCAGAAACTCACTCACCCTCACCTCACCTGTGAAGATGAGGGTGAGTGAGGGTGAGTGAGGGTGAGTGAGGGCCCTCATAAGTGAGGTTTGCCAAAGTATGGTGGTGACGAGACAGAATCTTAACCGCCGTGAAAAGCTGAGAACACGAACACCTATGAACTGCAAGGTGTCCCGACGGTAAAGAACGAAGAGAGAGGAAATGCTCCCTGGCCCCAACATTATAACACCGCCCCGTCCGACCTATGTACACCCGGCCACACGACAAAGGGATCAGATACACGGCACTCGTCGCGCACCAAACGTACCGCGTTCGGTGGCTAACCACACACCGAGACCTAGATAATCCAACACGATTAACTGCGGCGCAAAGACGGGACAACTTTGAAGGAGCTGAGAACACAACAGGCACGTCAAACTTCTCAGCCCCCTGCTTGATCCTATGTAGGAATGTGTGTACATACGGCAGAACAACCGGCTTGGAAGACATCCTTCTCCTTTCCCTCAAACCCGAAAGACCTCTAAACACTTCCAGAAGTGATTCCGCAACACCCACGACCACGGCCAACGGGAAGCCAGCAGAATGTATTTTGCTGGCCTGAGACAAAAAACTTTTCTCGCAGCTATGGTGACAGGATTTCACCCAAGAGGAGCGTAGACATGACACAGCAATAGCCCTTTTAACGAGTTTTGAATGATCTCTTCTTTGACCGGGGTTTATACGACCAACGCACATGTGAGGCCTGAATCTTAGGGGACAGGTCCAAAAATTGAATGACACCCTCAGAAGGGGTCTCAGGCTTGAACCTCCGGCACGGGGAACATCCCGAAAACATTGCGACCATATCCGTGACGTGACTCTTATCACCCAAACCTTGACTAGATATTAAAAGAATAAGGTAATCATCCACATACCTAAAGCTCTTTAAAATGAGCTCGTCATTCTTCTTAGCAGTAGCTCGATCACACTTGGCCAAATAAATGTCGCTAAGAACCGGGTCAACGCTGGGTTCGATGCCAATTCCGCTCTTTTGCAATAAAATAGAGTCCTCAAACGTGGCATATGTTGAAGCAGGGTAAAAACGCAACAACTGTATTGACATAAGCGGGTCTGTCGCCTTCACGAGATCAACGAATATTGCGATTGACTCCTTCTTAGAGTTGTTGCGTTTTCGCCCTGCTTCAACACATGTCACGTTTGATGGCTATTTTCTTGCAAAACAGCGAAATGTGCATCGGAGCCAGTGTTGCCCCGGTTCTTAGCGACATTTATTTGGCCAAGTGTGATCGTGCATTTGCTGAGAATAAAGACGAGCGCATTTGAAAGACTTCTAGGTATGTGGATGATTACCTTATCGTTTTAATATCTAGTCAAGGTTTGGGTGATAACAGTCACGTCATGGATATGGTAGACCTATTTTTGGGATGTTCCCCGGGCCTGAGGTTCAAGCTTGAGACCCCTTCTGAGGGTGTCATTCAATTTTTAGATCTGTCCCTTAAGATTCAGACCTCACATATTTGTTGGTCGTATGAACCCCGGTCAAAGAAGGGGCTATTGAGGTATGATTCTGGCCATTCAAAACTTGTTAAAAGGGCTGTTGCTGTGTCATGTCTACGCTCCTCTTTGGTAAAATCATGTCACCATAGCTGCGAGAAATGTTTTTAGCCACAAGCCAGCAGCTTGCATTCTGCTGGCCTCCCGTTGGCCGTGGTCGTGGGTGTTGCGGAATCACTTCTGAAAGTGTTTAGAGGTCTTTCGGGTTTGAGGGAAAGGAGGAAGATGTCTTCTAGGCCGGTTGTTCTGCCGTATGAACACACATTTTCACATATGATCAAGCAGGTGGCTGAGAAGTTTAACGTGCCTGTTGTGTTCTCGGCTCCTTCGAAGCTGTCCCGTCTTTGAGCCGCAGTTAATCGTGTTGGGTTATCTGGGTCTCGGTGTGGGGTTAGCCACCGAACCCGGTATGTTGCGTGCGCGACGGGTGTCGTGTACCTGATCCCTTTGTCGTGTGGCATGGTGTACATAGGTCAGACGGGGAGGTGTGTTAATGTTAGGGCCAGGGAGCATTCCCTCTCCCTTCGTCCTTCACCGGCGGGATACCTTGCAGTTCACTGTGATAGGTGTTCGTGTTCTCCGGCTTTCACGGAGATAAAGGTTATGGTTCGTATGGTTCGTCACCACAACAAAGTGACTAGAGAAATCGATGAGGCGTTTTTTATTTCTACCTACGGAGCGGACACGTGTGTTAGTGCCCCGCCCGTGGCTTTGGCGGATGACGAAGTGTCTTTCATCTAGAAATTCGGCAGATTTGTTTAAGTGTTCGGGCGTGCCTCAAGCGGGTGGATTGTGTTTTATCGTTTTATCTATCTTGCACCTTCTATGTTTTCCTTTCTGTTCCTCGCAGGAATAAACTTCAGTTGCCAGTCAGCGTTATGTTCGTTCACTTCTCGTTCTTGTCCTTTTTTTTTCGCGCTGTTTCCAAGTTTTCATTATGCACCAACTATCGCCACTTAGCGTCTTGTTGCAGCTTTATATTAACAAACGAGATAGATGCAGAAAGGTATAAGTAAGTAAAAAATTAACATAATCAATAATTACAATCAAAGTCGAGGTTTACGAGACAGAATGCATGATGCTGAGCGTATAAAGTACCTAAACCAGGTGGGTTGAGAACACCATGGCTCAAAACCTTGAAAGGGCACAACAAAACGAAAAGGAACTACAAAACACCGTAGTTTCCTAACTCTTCTGTAAGCCGGAATGAGTCATTCTGATGGGCTGTCTGTTTATTATTATTATTTTCCCCCGTTAGAGAATTTTGAAGCATGTTCAACTTGTCGTCGCTTTTTTGATATGTACTTTATTTATTTTCTTTCTTTCAGGAGGTCTGAAATTTCTCATACCAACAGTGGAATCTCTCCCATTTCAAGTCATCGTTAATGGTCTCCTGGCGGTAGACACCTTTTTCTTTCTGAGGTAAAGCGAGCATTTTGAAGGGTAAAGTTCCATTTTACGCCGAGGAAAATGTTGACAAATATTTATGACAACGCTCAGCTTTGTTCCCGCAGCGGTTTGCTGCTGGCCACTACCGTTCTAAGGAATTTCGACGAGAAGAATTCCAAGAAGCAATTGTTCGGCATATTTGCCTACAGGTATCTGCGGTAAGAGCTTCTTTTTTTACTCTATTCGCTTTTCTCGCGTCTCAGTGATCACGGAAAGTGTGCTGCGAGGTAAGTTAATATCGCCAAAGATTTCAATTATGGTTGATTTTTACGATGTTTTTCTTTTTATATTTCATAAACAGATGGAAGAAAATACTGTCTATTCAAATGGTATCCAAAGCAAACATGTATGCGCAAACTCAACCTCTGCAAATTTTTAAAGTCGGAAAAAGGGAATAAACTTAGGCTTAGGTACTATATTATTTATCGCGTGATTTAGACACTTTGCCTGAATTCATATAGAGGCATTTCCCAAATATCGCAGACGTCCTAGAAAGCTGAACCTCAAAATTTTAAGTTCACTACAATTTTTGAGTGTGTTATTTATTATTCCTGCTTCCTCTCCTGATACCTCCTCATGTGCAGTCCCCATCAGAGCAAGCAGCAGTGATGATTTTAGATTGAGCCCTGTGCTGTGCATGTGCTAATGGCTTCAAATCAGGGTCAGAATTGTATCCTTGTTCCCCTTCTCCCTCCATCTGACCTGCTCAACAAGCTTACAAACACTGAGTCCCACAGTTCGCGTGAATACTACATATACTGTATATATTGTAAAGGTTGTACAGGCATGATGTAAACAACCGAACATCTCACAAAACGAGCAGGTTGTGCCGACGATGAGCGTGTATTATCACACTACTACATATCATTGCACCTTCTCAGTCTCGTAAAAAAATAATAAAGCAATCGCGTGGTCTGTCTGAATGTGTAACCCGACTTCTCATGCGACGTTTTTAACGCGTATTTTATTTAGCAGAATAAATCTGCTGAGCACTGGTTCATTAAGTTTACTACTGTACGCAGATAGTGAGCTTCGTCTAATTTGGTTGTAAAAATTAAGACAATGAATACAATGTTTACGTTGACGAAAATTGGCCTCGTGATGGTGGTTGACTTCATCCAGGAAAAGTGGGCAGGTGTGGACAAGATGAGCTGGAAGACAACTCTTAATCACTACCATTGCACGAATGGGCAAGCGGGTGTTTGAGACAGAGCAGAAGATTGTTCAGAGAATATCAAGTTTATGGCTATTAGGTGGTTTGATGAACACAAAATACGTATTCTCCAGGGCTACCATTTTAAGAGAGAAAAGGGTATTTGAACAAAATTATAACTAAAGTAATTATACAGATTTCCCATTCATTTCAAGAACTAAATGTTTTTATTAGTTTAACTTCCAATCACTCTGGCAATTCAAAATCTTGGCTCTCAGTCATTTATTATTCGGTATGGGCGACTTGCCTTATTGTGGCGCCGCGGTTCTCCTCAGCTCAAATAAATATCAAGCAATCAATCAATTATATTTTTTTCATAAAAATGTTGTGGTTTTAGTTTTTGCTTGGCCACAAACAGGTCACTATGTATTGTACTGTATGTGTTGAACCTGACAGAAAGACCTGTTTTGTCTGAGGGCGAGAAGGTATTCTTCTCATGATATGCTGAAAACTAAAATTACTGACCAACACTTTAAGAAAATATTTTTCCAATACATAAATCTTTTTTCAGTACAAACGAGTTTGACGTTGGAGTCTTAAAAACTAAACATAAAAACTAAAAGCTAGTTTGCTTTTTTTTAAGTAGTCTAGGTGTATATGCCAACGCGCAGTTTACAAACAAACCCAGGTTTCCCAAACCAGGTGGGGCATTGCGCGTGCACAGAAACCAGATTTACGTCTACGCATGCGCCATTCCGACGGCAGTGTCAATACAGCTGTTTGACGTCAGAACGGCGCATTTATCTATAGTGTGTTTAGAACCCTCGTAGTATTAGGCGAGGCCTAGACCCCCGTCAGGTCCTGGCTTTCGTTGTGCACCACTGTACTTCCGACGGCAACCCCCGCGTATCTGGGTGCAGAATCACCCCTGGCTGCCTGCTGGCACTGTGCTTCTTCACCCTGGTGCCCCTGATGGGCTCGGGACCCATCTGGAGGGAGAAGATCGTGCCCCAGGTGGCCGCCTGCAACCAGACCTGGTGGGCCGTCGCCCTCAACGTCAACAACTTCATCCACGCAGACGGAATGGTGAGTGACTTCCGAGAGACCATCTTCCGAAGATCTTTCAATGGACGATACATGAGGGACGTACGCGTCACCAAAAACAACTACCGTAATGAACGCCCACCCGTTGTGAAGAGATAAGTGGCGGCAAATATCGAGTGCGCAGTCCTTCGGGGAGGGCGTTTATTCGGATTTTCCGGTAAAAGTAAGTAACATTGCAATTTACTCGTTCCCAAAATAAATAGGCTCGCTACTCTTTGCCGAGTTTCCGATGGCAGGCTTTACGTAGGCTTAGTGCAAGGTTTGCTCGTTTACAATTTTACATATAGTTAGGAATAAGACGTGATCGCGTGGCATGAATTACAATTGGAGCACTCTAATGGCATGGCATGCAACTGAATCTGCAATGACGCGGGTGCACTGCACCTGCTCCCCGGGACGTTAGAGTGCTCTGATAGTGCTACTCGATGACACGCGGTCTGGTGTTCCCACTGTGACAATGATAATACCCCTTGGGTGATATGCTGACCTCCTTGGGCTTCGAAACGAAACATCTGTATTCTGATGGAGCTGGTGTAGTCCTCCATACACCACTTCTGAACTGAGATGCTTGCTAGTAATCGTGTAAACAAACGCGGGTGGAAAAGGCAAGCTTGGTGTTAAATTCACTCCTCCGGAATCTAACTATATGCCGTCCTTCCTTTACTGGTTACGAGTGCAATAGATATTCGTTTCTTTTCTTGTTCGCAATAGTAACCAAAGTTATTACTTACCCCATTACCAAAGAGCAACAGGCGAGTCAACGGCCTTCTAGTAGCGAGCATTTTGGACAATGTACGCGTCGACGTGCGTAATGTACAACGTGTGCCCAATGAATCTAACCAATTTATATAAATAAAAATATTATGTTTTGCACATTACGAAACTCTATTATGAAAGTGCGGCTAGGTGGTTAATTTGTTTGGTGAAAAAACTGAAGCAAGACCTCCTAATCATAAGTTTACAATACAAAAAAAAACTTTTCACTTGCTTAATAGGGAAGTAAGCCTTGTTCAAGCAAAACGGTAAAACCCTTGTTGGGGGGGGGTCTCTATACTCTTTTTCACACTTAGCGTGTAACGCTGTCAAAGCTGCTGGCGCGAGCATGAACTTGATCTCGTTGATCATTTGCACGCGTTCTCGCACAAGCGAAACCACATACGAAGCCACGAGCTCGCGCCAGTAGCTTTGACAACGTTGCACACTAGGTATGAAACAGAGTATAATTGTCTGATTTTACGAAAGCAAAAAAGGTAGAAAAGAATATATTTTTTACTCTGCTCTCCTTCCCTTGTTTCCCCAATCAAAGGATTGGGCCATTTGGTCAAAGGGTCAAATGGTCGCAATAACCGTTTCTCGACTTAACTTGAAAAAGTTGAACTTTCTACTTGCAACGTTTTATTGAGGCGATTGTTTCCTTCGATAATTTTGCATAACAAATCCACAACCTAGCCTCACTTTCTACGCCATCATCGTAATTGCTACATGTGATGAAGCATTCAAAACAATTTTTTCGGCTTATTTAAAGTGTGTTAGATCCATTGACCCTCACACTGTACGCTGCATTTTTTTAGGATAAATGCTTTGTGTTTACGTCCACAATTTCCATAATAAACATTGTGATGGTTCTTTGGCACTTTCGACGTAACAAGGAAACGTCCTCTGAGAAATCAAGTTAAATTTGCTTAAAAAAAATACGCAAACAATATTTTTTTTTTTAAGTTCGGAGACTAGCTTATATGCTATAGCATAATTCACACCCTACTTGTTTCCGAGCTCTTAACAAACAAAGATGCAATGCACCTGTATGTGTGTGGGTAAAACGGCAATAATTTATAGAAATGGTATAATTATTTCTAAGCTTATTAAGTGATATACCCGTTGACGTTTCGACACGAGGGGGAATAAATTACCAATAAAAATAACACAAATCGAATCAAAAGGTCAAGATGCAACGCTCTTAAACGAGCCATGAAACAGTTGTTCTATTTTCACAAAATACTACTTAGGATCACTCCCTAACATTAATAACTGAATAAACTTGCCTTAGATTTTTTTTTTTTTTTCTAGGCAATGACAGTCGCCAAAAAAACAAATTCGAGAAATATAAGCATCGCTGATCCCCTCAACTCGGGGGCCAAAACAAGCAACCACGTGACCTGCTGCCTATCCTATGCCGCCAACGTTAATCAAACCCCTGCGGTGGAGTTGGCAAAGTAAAAAACGCCTGCTGAGCCCCAGGCATTCTTAGAGTTCCGCTATTCTCATCAGCGCAGTGGATGGACAGGAGCCACTACCTGAGTTTCCGCCGAGCCATTGATTGCTCCGCGCCGTAGTCGAGTGCGTACGCAGTTCTCGTGTCCAATCCATGAACCACGCTCGACTGTCGTGAGGTGGGTGGTTTTGATCCCTCAATTACGTCATCAAGGTTCGCGAAGGCAGACTGAAAGAAATAGTTCCCTTTTATCCTCGCAATTTTACCGCGACCAAGAAGCTTCTGAATCAGTGGCGGTCTGTGCGAGTATACCTGTGCCAGTCTAGGATCAGTACACCCCTGCAAAATCATGAACATTGCGACCCAATGACCTTTTAAAATCAACATCGACATTTCATGACCCCTTTAAAATCAACATCAGCATTAACGAAAAGTGTGACAATGAACGTGGGAAGCCAATTCGGGCCAAAGGTTGTCTAAGAACGAATTGACCTGTAAAACAGACATTTGAGTAACATAGATTCCGACTTTATAAATGAAGAAAATTGTGCGATCAGACTGTCAGAGTTACGTCTGGAGAGTTGGCCTCGTCTTCTAGGTAGTATCGGCTTAAAACTGTCGTATAAATCTTTTCCGCGATCGTATCTTTCGTACTGTGGGAGTCTGTACGTTAAATCAAAGCGACACATGGCGACTAGTGCGCACTGCAATAGTCTGGCGAAAGAATGTTACGGGTTTCCGCCGGCCACGGCATGCGACCTGCGTCAGTGGAACTCTTTCCGTTCTTCCCCTTTCTTGTCGACGGGCTTAGCGGCGCGTGCTGCTATTCGAGACTCAAGTACGCGGCAGATACGCAACGGGATAGCCTCCCTGCGTGTGTCTAGTCCTTTCTTGACTCGCGAAGAATATTTTCAACGGTCAACGCAGTATTAGTGCTTCCGTCCTCATGCGGCAGTGTCTAACAACAGAGGAGACTTCTAAGCTTAGGCCGGAGACGCGCAAGGTATACATGGTACGATAGACTCGGTCTGCAGACACGATGACAGACCTGTCTGCGGACAATGCATGTTCTGAGCATGTTTGCTCCATTCATGTGCATACTAAAAACATCTTTTTTTATGAGCAATGTGACACGATTGTGTTGTTGCTTTATATAACAATGTTCTCCAGTATGAAACCCACTTTTTGTTTGTTCCTTTATATAATGTTTTTTTTTTCAGTAGGTACCCCCCCCCCCCCCTTTGTGTAATATCTGTAAGGGCCTTCAAGGTATAATAAATTATGATGATGATGATGATGATTGTCCTACAAGGAAGAGGTGTGCCTCAGACAGTGTCCGCAGGCTGTTGTTTGTATGATGTTTATCAGCACAGTGAGAGAGGCTTTAGACTTTTTGCTGCCGCCTACATCCCCGTTCCTTCAATTCAAACTCCATTAAAAAAATTTAAAAAAAAAAATTCGTTTTGATTTTTGAGCACTGCATTGGTACGGCTGAAGGAACTTCCCACACCACGCGGCCAAATTATTGGAACTGCATGTAATGACAGACATTTGAGCAATCAGTCAATCAGTGGACGCCGATCCTGGTGCAATGCGATACATGCAGGCGGAACGCACGTAGCCAGGATTGCGAGTTGATTCGCCGATTACACACAGCATGTCCCAAAAAATATATATAGATACTTTTTCTTTCTTTCTTTTTTTTTTTTTTACTGCAAACATAAATGATTTATTTCTGAACGCTCATTCTCCACACAAATGTAGAGCTAACGGTCCAAACCAGATGGCAAAGTTTCAGCACTAACCATTTTCCTGCTTAAAATGTATAAGTGGTTGTTTGAAAATTTCATTGGGAAAACGGCGCCCATTTTAGCCTGTTTTCGGGAAAACAGGCGAAATTTCGAAAAAAAAAATCACTGACAACGTTTGAATAAAATAACATTTAGTGACTAAACTTCCGCATCTGCTCCCGACCTCTAGCTCTGCATTTGGGCGAAGCACGAGCATTCGAGAAATCCTTAGTTTACATTTGCGGTAAAAAAACAACAACAAAAAACATATACATTTTTTGGGGGACATCTTGTAGGTGTCATTCGATGCCACTGACATCAAGTATAGCGTATCGCCCAGGGTATACTATTGACCAATTACTATTGCATCAATGGCGTTCATAATTACGATTTCCGCTTGAAAACACATGGCGTGTTAAGTTTACTTTTTAGAGCGCAGCTCTTAGGGTCCCGTTCCCGGCTTGAGCGGCGTCGGCGTCGCCGTCGGCGTCGGCGTCGGCGTAACCAAGGTCGTCCCAAGGTCACGTGGCCCCCAAGGTCATCCCAAGGTCACGTGACACCCAAAGTCACGTGACCCCCCGAGGTCACGTGACCCCCCCCCCCCCCGAAGTCACGTGACACCCCAGGTCACGTGATCACCCCCAGGGTCACGTGACCCCCGCCGAGGTCACGTGACCTCTCCGATGACGTCATCGATGACGTCACCGGCATCCGCATCGTCATCGTCATCATCACTGATGACGTCATCAGTGACGTCACTGATGACGTCATCAGTGATGATGACGATGACGATGCGGATGCCGGTGACGTCACTGATGACGTCATCAGTGGTGATGACGATGCGGATACCGGTGACGTCATCAGTGACGTCACTGATGACGTCATCAGTGATGATGACGATGACGATGCGGATGCCGGTGAGGTCATCAGTGACGTCACTGATGACGTCATCAGTGATGATGACAATGACGATGCGGATGCCGGTGACGTCATCATCACAGATGACGTCATCGGAGTCCGCATCGTCATCGTCACTGATGACGTCATCAGTGACGTCACTGATGACATCATCGGCATGGTCACGTGACTCCCCAAGGTCACGTGACCCCCCCCCCCCCGGTCACTTCACCCCCCAGTACCCTTCCCTCCTCCTCCTCAAGAGCTGCGCTCTAATTCGGTGTTACAGGGAGTTGTAAACGGCTTTCACTTTTTCGCAGTGCCTACCAAGCCTGTGGTACATCAGCGCTGACTGGCAGCTGCATTGTGCCCTGTTCCCCCTCGTGTTCTTGTTGATCAGGTATGTACTTATGCTTCCCGAAAAAAAGGTTTCTGCTGCGGAGGTTTCTTGCAAGTTCTACATCACTAAGGAGACCAGCCCTTCAGGGTAGCCAGGTTGAGCTATAAATAGCCCAATTGGGCTACTAATTGTTCTAGTTGGCGGCAAAATCTGGTAGTTATCTACTTGGCTATGTTTGGGATGCTTAAAAGACCGAGACTCACGCCATTTAAAAAAAAAAATCTTTGTTTCCAACCCTTACAAGGACGCGGACAGGGTATTTATGCTCGCCAAAGTTTTTATTTGAACAGGACCTATTGAGCCCAACTACCCAAAACACTATTTGTGGCTCAAAATTCGTATTCTTTCTGCCCGAAAACAGGCTCAATTTTTTTTTTTTTTTTAATTTCCGCGGTCACGTGGCCTTCGAACTATGTGTACCAATACTATATTCAAAGTCGTGGGTCATCAAAGGCACAGATGCAATATTAAAAATACAAAATAATACGAACCCCATTTTTGTGGCCTTCAAAAAACTGCAAAGACGTTGATCGAAAATGAAAATGTTGCACAGATCGCAGAAAGTGCATGTACTACAACATTCTCAATATGGCGACGTACCGCGGGCTGGACGACAAGACGGCAGCGCGGGACGGACCAACGTTGCGACAGACGTGGGGCCGCTACCTCGGAACTGTCGTTCGTGGTACCGGCCAATCGATCTCCAAACCCAGAACATCGAGCTGGAGGAAAATAGGGTTTTTGCATTGCCCAGAGGACGCTGCGCCAAATGAAATTTTTAGGACTTGTTTTCGGTAGAACAAACCTGAGCGTCTTAAACTGTCGCACCGTAGAAGCTTGCCTGCTCTGGTGCGGAACACAATCACGAGGAGAATACAAAGAAACAAGAAGAATTCGAACGTCGTCGAAGCACAGGTTCAAGCTCAGAGACTGAGTCAAGAGACGCCGCTTCAGGCGTTTCAAAGTAAAAGGGAAAAAGAAAAAGCGTCGAGACGCTAATATTTTGACGTCATCACCCATAAATAAGACACGCGTACCCTAGCGGTGGTTGCATGAATCTGGCACCTTCGATTGTCTTACGGCGCTGAATCTAGCAAATTTGAAAGTCGAAATGAGTTTGTTGTTGTTTTTTTTTTTCGTTCTTCAGCACTACAGAGAAAGAAAGAAGCTCAGCGAAAGAGCCACAACTGTAGGGCGAGGTATAATCAGGCGAGCTTGTACTACCCAAAATAGGGGCGGCAACTTCGTCGTCTTAACCACGCGACTTCCGGCATTTCTCTCCTCCTTGGTACACATCGCCCACGTGTATCGCACGTGAGCTGCCGCTCTCATTTTTCGGTTTCGGCTTCAAGCAGTATAGAGTTTCTTTTTTGTTCTTTTGCTTTATTAAAAATATACGTGATTTTGCGGCCAAGTGCTAATTGGGTAGTCTCCTGACACCATATTCAATCGCCTGGCAAAATTTTTTAAACAATTTGGGGAGTGTCAGACTTACTTTAAACATGGTGTTGTTCAGCCAGGTGGGAAGCAAATATTAATTCGAGAGAGTATGAAAGGAAACTATCCAAAATCACAAGCGTGAAAATAAAATACGTGGGTCCTCAATGGTATTGGTCGCGGGCACGCAATCGTTTTATCTAAAATACTACCGTCTGAAGTTCTTTTATTTAGACGAGTTTCAATACCGCGCGCAGTGATGTGCCCGTGCCCAGCTACTGGTTTTTTACACTAGTAATGTAATTTTTTTGGTAAATGCATATTATGTCATTAGGGTTCAAAAGAACGGTTTGAAATATTATGTATAGAGTTAATATTTTTGTGTGTGTTCTGGACTATATGGGGTATTTTTATAGCCTAATATTTGGCTATTTTGGAGATATATTTCACAAGTATTATTCGAGTTAATCTACAAGTATCTGGCAACCGCATATCGTCGTTATGCATGACACCCGCAGAAGTCACGAAAAAGTGAGCGCAGTTTTAATTCGTAACTGCGACAGCCCTGCAAATAAACCTAAAGTTTTCTCTTTTTTTTCTCTTTTTGTTGTTAAGATATGAATGGTGTGTTGCAGCATAGCCTCCTTTATTTTAAAAAAAGCTTGTCAACCCTGCGATGGAGCCATTGAGCGCCCTGTCGCCGGAAAAAGGCGAGGAGCAATGCTGAACGGTTTCGATGTGGCGGCCCCGAGCCACGTCTGGGGAGATCCCTCAGCCGGACTTCATCTTGCGTTTTCTGTTTTGTTTACGGCAACTTCCTGGTCTGCCGAAATAGGTAGTGCGGGTGTGAGTGAGGGTTTCCTGGGGAGAAAAGGAAAAGTTTTTCTGCGGTGGAAGCGCCGAATTGGTTTTCCTTTATCTGCCGAAAAAGCTTTCTACAAAGCTCATTTTAAGGGGTATTCACACGAGGGAGAAATCCCGGGGATTTCTCCCCGGCACGCGCGCATCACGAGACGAAAACGCGAGGCTTTTGCACATCGCAAAGCCTGAGGTTTTCGTCGTGGCATGCGCGTGCCGGGGAGAAATCCCCGGGATTTCTCCCTCGTGTGAATACCCCTTTACGCGCGTTCTGCGTTTTTACAGCCGTAGCTGTTACGGGCTCTTCCCCCATTCAAGATCTTGCAGGTCGTCTGTTTTGTCGCGTGACTTCATTATGTTTTGTGACGTCACAATGTCACGTGGCGCCGCACTGTCAAGTGACAATAGTGTCAGATGACGTCGTAATGTAACGTAACTATGCAAACAATCGTTTGACATCATTTGGATAGTGTTATGGTTATGGATGAGTGTGTCACTCTCGGAGCAGACGTTGGCGATGGTTCGCCCACGTAAGATCCAAGATACCCTAGGATACTTTCGGGTTCGATAAGGTGTTGCAGCTGTCTCTGTAATAGCAAAAATAGCCTAGATTTTAGAAAGGGACGTTCATCTCAAACCCTAGGGAGCGTTTGGAAATTAATGACGGTGACCTTCCGCGACGATTGGTCGCCAGTGCGCATGCGTATCTTTTCGCGTGGTGAGAAGGAAAGCACAGAGGAAGGCAGAGATGTTTGCAGAGTACCAATGCCAATTTTCGCCAACGCGCTCGTCATCCGTGGCAGTGCCGGTAACTGTCAAAAAAGCTCTTGACTTTGATGATCCGCATATAAGAAAGCACAGAGTGCTTAAAAAGTTAACAGATTTGATTTTGCCATGTTTAGAGAAATGCCTCCCCCCAACTTCCCTTTCTAGCGTGCCCAGCAAGAGATGACCATGAGACAAAAACTTCTAGGCTTGTAATAGAAAAGCTTGTACGGCCAGTCCGGGTCAATATTGGCATGCATATAACAGACAGGGTAGTGTATCGATAGAAACTGCTCGAAGCCACTGCATCGTAAAGTGCTTCGCGTCCACTCTGAAAATTCGAGGCTTGGAATCTGTTAATAAATCAAATTGGTAGTTGGAATACCGAATAAAACAAGTAGAAACGAGGTTAGAATTTATAGATGAACCTGAGTAATTTTTTTGGGGTCTTATTGTCTGCTTGGATATAAATTCAGTTACGTCATAAGGTGCATAACTGGATGCGATGGTTTGTGCTACATGTGCCAAAAACTAGACGTTTACTAGATAACTCCCCATCTTTTGAATTCCTACTTACAATTGTCACGAAGTTTATAAAAACAAAGTGGCGAAATCATTGCATGGTGGTCGTATTTCACCCCCATATTTTTTTTTTTTCTAAAGCCGGAGTTACACTGCTTATACATCATACAAAAGGCACTCTGCAAACAGATTCGAACGCGAGTTCAAACCTCCCCCCCTCCCCTTTCCCGAAACAAAAAAAAAAAAGGAAAAGGCACGCGTCCTTGACTCCTGAATTTACCGCTGGGGCATTGTTTGGCGTTGCTCGAGAGACCCCGTGCGCTCGTCCTGTCCCCTGATATCCTTTCCCCTCTAGAGCTGCCACGTTCTTTCGCGGTTTTACAGGCTTTCTAGAATAAAGGAGGCTAGGGTTGGTAGTTATCGCTCGCAAGCAGCATTATCACGAGATGTTTATATTATTCGGTTCTTGCTTATTACCGGATATGCACAAGACGATAAGAAAAAAAGTAATTGCGACGCTAGGTGGGGGGCTGAGGTATAATATACCGTTTATCAATAAACATTTTATGCATGTGTAGGCCTTGCTCATGCAGCTGCGTAGGTTCAAACTACGATTGGCGTCCAGAAGCTGAGTTGGAGTTGAGCTACCTCTCTTCCCTCCTTCGCGGCTAATGCGAGTCTCAGAGAAAGCAGGAGTGGTAGTGCAACTCCCCTTCCGGACTCCAATTACACTTTAAGCTTTATCCGCTTGGTGTGCTTTTCATGAATAAACTTTCATAGAAATGTGTGTAACAAATTTTTTTTTACATATAATATTAAATTTGTATTTAATTAAAAGAGCTAAGTAGGAGCTTTCTGGCGACGTCAAGGTAGTTAAACACCTTAAAGAGGTGTTTAACTGCTGCCAAACTTGCGATCTTTCACAGATGGAAGAAACGTCAGTTTTTGTTTTGGCCGCTCCAATAGTCAATAACTTGAAAACAACAAAATCAGCCATGCTTACCGCTTGTTTTCTCTTTTATTTTAAAAATGGTCCCAAAAAAAAACATTTTTTGTCAAAATAAAGCAAAACCCAAAACCATCTTTGAATTCAGATAAAAACACCCATATGCGTTTTCCCTTTGACTTCTGTTATAAATTTATAATATATAAAGTGGAGCAAGCTAAACCAAATTAAACGGTTTTCTTCGAATCAATTTCTTTTTCCGTATCGCGGAGGTTTTCCGAATTCCACCAATTCTACCCTCAAACGTAAAAAGCTACAATTCTGCAATACCTCGGCGGTTTTATCAGTCTTCATACCAGACCGATCAACCGATTAAATAATCGATTAAATGTCTCTAATTAGTCGACTGAAAATTTTTAACCGGTGCCCACAGCCGTAACAGATAACTTTTTTCCCGCCGCGTGCAGAAAGCCCGCGTTTGGAGGAATGGCCGCCTTCGCCGCCGTGGTCGTGTTCGGAGTCATCATCGGAGTCCAGACCACCTTGTCCGGTTACCCGCCCACATTCCTGCCTCTCTACGCCGAGAAGAGGTGCGCGGACTCCATATTCGTTTGCTCGAAAATCGGTGTTGGCACTTTTCTTAAGCTTAATATTGCCACGCTCGTCAGCGAGCGACCGCGCGCGTGGCCGAGTGGTGACCGTGCTTGACTGTCGTGCAGAAAGTCTGGGTTCGATTCCAGTCAGTGGAATGCTCTTTTATTTGTTCTTTTATTGCGTTCTCGTGAGTTCGAGAACATTCTCGTCAGATCGAGTTCTGAATGTTCCAGTCGCCGAACAATCTAGGCCGATTGTTCCAGAACCCAACGCGCGTACATAAGGGACTCCGCGTGCTGATCTGCAGTCAGTTTTCGCCTAGCGTTCGACTCTGCTGCTACGCCGACTTCGACGCCCGCGACGCTCCGTTAATATCTTTTGTACCCTTTTATTTTTGGCACAAGTTCGCCACATTAAACGTTTATTTCTTTCTGTTTATTTATTGTTTATTGTTTATTGGTCACCACCCGTGACATTTTGGTGGAGGTGCGGGGTACCGCATGCCCGTGCAGCGTTCCCCTCCCAGGACCCGCAGTGCAAGCCCGACTCCAAGCTCGCTGAGAAGACCACTCAGCGCGGAACTTGAAACTCGGACCAGCCGCCGCACCAAGGGAGAGGATCCGGAGTACGGTTTGTTCCTGGACAAACCCAAGCCGAAGAAGACGACGATGGACAACCAGTCGCAGGCCCCCGCCGCTCCTGCCGTCGTCTACCTACTCGTCGCTCCTCGGACACCGGCTCCCTTCCACGGCGAAAGCCACGAAGACATCGACGACTGGGTCCAACAGTACGAACGAGTGGCCCGTCATAATGGGTGGACACCGGAACAGTGTCTGCAAAACGCTTACTTCGCCTTGGAAGCCACCGCCCGGAACTGGTTTGAGAACCACGAAGCTTCGATCACTTCCTGGGAGCAACTCAAGGCTGAGGTGCGAAGAACGTTCACGAACCAACAACGAAGAGAACGCGCGGAAGAGCTTCTTCAAGCGAGGATTCAAGGCCTTAACGAGAGCGTCGTTAGCTTCGTGGAAGACGTCCTGCGACTGAGCAACCGCGCCGATCCCGAAGCATCCGAAGCAAAAAAGCTCAGAGTCTTGATGCGTGGCGTCAAGGAAAACATTTTCGGTGGTCTTGTGCGGAGCCCGCCTACCACCGTCGAAGGCTTCATGACGGAGGCCACCAACATCGAACGTGCCCTTCAAGCACGAGCCACCCACTATCACAGAGTTCCCGGCGTCGGTTCCTTTTCGCCTTCCGGCTGCAACACCACGGACATCCGCGAGATGATCCGAGACGTCGTCCGGGAAGAGATCAAGAAACTTCTACCTGCCGCCGCGAGCCCAGCTTCGCCCTCAATCGCCGAGATTGTCAGGGAAGAAGTCCAGCAAGCGCTGCAGCCTGAGGTTCTCGTCAGCACCGCTCCGGAACCACCGACGTTGAGTTACGCCGCAGTGGCCCGACGGCCACCGCCTCCTCGTCGCACCTATGTCACGCCGCCCCGACGTCAGTCTCCCGCGCCGCAGCACGACCGACGCCACGACGACCAGGTCCAGTAGGCCTGCCCAGAGCCTCGCGCACCCCGCAAGACCGACGTGTGGCGAACGCCCGACCGACGCCCTCTGTGCTTCCATTGCGGGGAAGCGGACCACACCTACCGCCGATGCCCATACCGACGACTCGGGCTACGCGGGTTCCACCCGAACAACCCGCGCCCCCGTCATGGTGAACGCCCTATCGAGATCGACGAGTACCTGCGACGACCTCAGTCCCACGAGCCTGCGTCCCGCCGAGAGTTCCGGTCGCCGTCACCGCGACGTCCAGCTTCGCCGATGCACCGACCACGACGTGAAAGCCTGTCCCCCCTCGCTCCTCGCCGGGGAAACTAGGCGCGGCAACCCCTGGAGGTGGAGTTGCCGAAGACGACCGACGCCAAGATCCTCCACGAACGTCGGGGGGCCCCCACTCGAGCGCTACCAGAGACCAAAACGACGCCGCTGCAGTGGTTTCCAATAACCTAAACGTCGTCATCGATGGCCACGACGCATCTGCACTCGTGGACACCGGAGCAGACTACTCAGTCTTGAGTGGGAGGCTCTCCCGCCGCCTTCGAAAAGTCACGACGCCGTGGGATGGACCTCAAATACGAATCACCGGAGGGCACCTAATCACACCCATCGGGAGATGCACTGCTCGCGTCAAGATCCGCGGTGAAACGTGCCCTGTGAAGTTCATCATTCTACAAGACTGTTCCAGAGACGTTATTCTCGGCATGGACTTTCTGTGTGAATACGGCGCCGTCATCGACCTTGGTGAGAACAGATTGACGCTGCGCAAGCCCGTTCCGTCTTCAGAGAAACCTCAAACAGCGTCAGCCGCCGTTCGAGTCGCTGCCGACCACGTGAACCTGCCGCCGCGATCAAGTGTTGTCGTACCCGTAGTGCCCGATGTAGCTACCTGCGGCGAGGTTGTTCTTGAAGGCAACCTTCAATTACTCCTAGAAAGAGGAATAGGCGTCGCAAGAGGAGTGGCTGAACTTCAGGATGGGCGCACCGTGGTCTTCGTGACAAACTTTCGACAAGAAGCGCAACACCTCACGAAAGGTGCCGCTGTAAGCCACGTCGAGGAAATTTGGAACTCCGCCGAAATCGCCGCGATTGCTGAAGAATCATTCCCACCTCAGCAACACATTACGGCGCCAACGCAGCTCGACATTGACCGCAAGCTTCCAGGCCCGAAACGACGGCAGCTAAGTGACCTTCTCGCCGAATACAGTGACTGCTTCGCGACGTCGTCGAGGGTGCGCCAAACCACCATTGCGAAACACCGCATCGTTACCGAGGACGACGCGCGCCCTGTGCATCGATCGCCGTACAGAGTCTCCGTTAAAGAAAGGGAGGTGATCCAGGAGCAAGTGCAAGAGATGCTGAATGACGACATAATCCAACCCTCAAGTAGTCCGTGGGCCTCTCCAGTTGTACTGGTTAAGAAGAAGGACGGAACGCTTAGGTTCTGCGTGGACTACCGGCAGCTGAACGCAGTGACGAAGAAAGACGTCTATCCACTCCCCCGTATCGACGACACGTTAGACCGGCTGCGCCACTCCCGATACTTTTCATCCATGGACCTGAAGAGTGGCTACTGGCAGATCGAAGTCGACGAACGGGACCGAGAGAAAACAGCTTTCGTCACGCCAGATGGGCTGTACGAGTTCAAGGTGATGCCCTTCGGACTGTGCACGGCTCCAGCAACTTTCCAGCGTGTCATAGACACCGTACTGGCAGGACTGAAGTGGCAGAGCTGTCTCGTCTACCTCGATGACGTCGTAGTGTTTTCCAGCGACTTCGACGAGCACTTGCGACGACTCCGAGCAGTTCTCCAAGCCATACGGACCGCCGGACTCACCCTGAAGCCGTCAAAGTGTCGGTTCGCCTATGACGAACTGAAATTCCTCGGTCACGTGGTTAGTAACGAAGGCGTTCGCCCCGACCCAGAGAAGACTCGCGCCGTCGCAGCATTTCCAGCACCGACAGACAAGAAGGCCGTGCGAAGGTTTCTTGGACTATGTGCCTACTATCGGCGCTTCATCCGGGATTTTGCAAGGATTTCCGCACCACTCACAAACCTCACAAAGGACGCCGAGAAGTTCGAATGGGCCGAGAAGCAGCAGCAGGCATTTGACGAACTGAAGCGACGACTGCAGACTCCTCCTGTTCTAGGACATTTCGATCAAGATGCGGAAACCGAAATTCACACGGACGCAAGTAACGCTGGACTTGGCGCGGTACTGGTTCAAGTGCAAGACGGCACCGAGAGAGTTATCGCCTACGCAAGTCGGACACTGTCCAAGGCGGAGAAAAATTACTCCACGACTGAGAAAGAATGCCTTGCTGTCGTCTGGGCAATCATGAAGTTTCGTCCGTATTTGTACGGGAGCCCGTTCCGTGTAGTCACGGACCACCACTCGCTCTGCTGGCTTGCCAACCTCAAGGACCCGTCAGGACGCCTCGCTTGATGGAGTCTCCGACTACAGGAGTTCGACATGACGGTGGTCTACAAGTCAGGCCGTAAGCACAGCGACGCCGACTGCCTGTCCAGAGCCCCCATCGAAACGCCTTCCGGCAGCAGCGACGACGATGACGACGAGTGCTTCCTAGGCGCAGTGAATACCGACGACATGGCAAGACGTCAAAGAGACGATCCTGAGTTGCGCGCGCTAATCGAGCACCTCGAAGGACGAGGGGGTACTGTCCCCCGTGTCTTCTCGAGAGCCCTGCCGACTTTCGTCCTCCGACAAGGTGTACTTTACAAGGAGAACTTCGGAGACAACAGCACACCATGGCTGCTGGTAATCCCCACCGACCTTAGAGCGGAGATCTTCCAAGCCTGTCACGACGACCCGACGTCCGGACACCTTGGTTACAGCCGTACGCTGGCCCGAATTCGTGAAAGGTATTACTGGCCCAAGCTGCCGAAGACCGTTCACTTCTACACACGGTCCTGCCACGAGTGCCAGCGACGCAAGAAACCGCCGACGAAGCCGGCAGGTCCCCTCCATCCGATCGCTCCCCCGACCGTACCGTTCCAGCAGATCGGAGTGGATCTACTTGGTCCTTTACCACTATCGACGCGAGGAAACAGATGGATTATTGTCGCCACAGATTATCTCACACGGTACGCCGAAACGAAAGCCCTTCCTGTAGGGACTGCTGTGGAAGTCGCCAAGTTCTTTATCGAATCCATCGTCCTCCGGCACGGCGCTCCCGAAGTCTTGATCTCAGACCGTGGATCATCGTTCATGGCCCAGCTGACGCAAGAAATCCTTCGTCTCAGCCACACCAGCCATCGGCGCACAACGGCGTACCACCCGCAGACCCACGGGCTGACGGAGAGACTCAACAAGACCATCGCCGACATGATCTCCATGTACGTCGACGTGGAGCACAAGACATGGGACGAGGTGTTGCCGTATGCCACATTTGCCTACAACACGGCCGTGCAAGAGACCACCGGGGTGACACCCTTCCAACTGGTTCATGGTCGTAAAGTAACGACAATGCTGGACGCGATGTTACCCCACGAACCGGCTCTCGACGGAAGCGACGACGCCCAGGTGGTTGCCCAACGGGCAGAAGAAGTCCGCCAGCTCGCCAGACACCGTATTCAAGCCCAACAACGTGTCGACACTGGCCGCTACAAAATTCGTCGTCGGGACGTCCACTTCCAGCCCGGAGACAGGGTGTGGGTGTGGACCCCGATCCGCCGCCGTGGTCTCAGTGAGAAACTCCTAAAGCGCTACTTCGGACCCTACAAAGTACTTCGTCGACTCGGGGATCTGAACTACGAGGTGATGCCCGACGGAACACGGACTTCATCACGCCGCGCTCCACGACCGGAAGTCGTCCACGTCGTGCGCCTCAAGCCCTACTACGCGCGATAAGACTGCGAACTGTGATCTTGTCCACCGCTTGATAGGATTGTGTTTCGCGAGCCTCCGTATGTTCCCATTTTTTTGCTTGTTCCGCTCTGTTTTGTTGCCTTTTACGTGGCATCGAGACGATGCCTTTTTAAAGGGGGGAGTAATGCCACGCTCGTCAGCGAGCGACCGCGCGCGTGGCCGAGTGGTGACCGTGCTTGACTGTCGTGCAGAAAGTCTGGGTTCGATTCCAGTCAGTGGAATGCTCTTTTATTTGTTCTTTCATTGCGTTCTCGTGAGTTCGAGAACATTCTCGTCAGATCGAGTTCTGAATGTTCCAGTCGCCGAACAATCTAGGCCGATTGTTCCAGAACCCAACGCGCGTACATGAGGGACTCCGCGCGCTGATCTGCAGTCAGTTTTCGCCTAGCGTTCGACTCTGCTGCTACGCCGACTTCGACGCCTGCGACGCTCCGTTAATATCTTTTGTACCCTTTTATTTTTGGCACAAGTTCGCCACATTAAACGTTTATTTCTTTCTGTTTATTTATTGTTTATTGTTTATTGGTCACCACCCGTGACAATATAAAATCACAAGAAAAACGTCTCTATCCTTCAGAATGTAAAAACAGCCCACAAAGGAGCAAACTAGACTTGGGAAGTAATCCGTTACTTTTTAAAGTAATTTTGTAAGTGCTGCGTTACTTTGTGCGGCACTAATTCGTAATGTAATTTTGTTACAAATATTGGTAACGAATCACTTTAATTACTCGATACTTTTAAAACAATTAACATAATACAGAAACTTAAGCAATATTAGGAGGCAATTCAGCAGCATTAAGATAGCAAGTTCAACCAAATAGAAAACATCTCGAAGTAAAGAATACCCCCCCCCCCCCAAAAAAAAAAAAAAAAAACACGATATTATGTCACTAAAACCGTGCAATACAGCCAAAGCCACAGCGGAGAAAGCGTGTCCCAACCTTTTCAAGGGGAGGGAAAGGAGGAAAAGGAAAGAGAGTCTGGGATTCCCAGCCTTTCTCGCCTGTTCCTCCTTTTCCTGTTTTTTTTTTTTTTTTAACAGGTTGGGATACGCTCTTTAGCCTGTAGTTTGGGCTTTACTGCACGGTTTTATTGAGACGGAATTTAGAAACACTAGAAAAACTTGCAAGGCATATGCAGATATGCAAAAAACAAAAAGCAAGGAGACAACGGAGAGTAGGCTCTGCTTCTTTCCATCGCCTTTCATCCTGTATTTCTTCTCCTGCGTATGAGAAATGAAAAGTTGTCTTGGAACATTTTCGAAAACATCAAGTTGTTTCTATTGTTTTCTTGATAAGGGTACGGGAAAAGTAACGTGAAAGAAATATCTAACGCAGCGAGGAAAGTAATCCGTTACTCTTCAGCAAAAGTAATCTGTAACGGTAATTCATTGCATTTGAGGCACGGTAATTTGTCTATGCAATCCATTACATTTTTCAAGTCACGGGAAAAATTCTGGAGCAAACCCATATCGCCCGCGGTTTTTGAAAACAGCTATCTAAAGTTCAGAAAAGCGTATTTTTTAATCGTAACCATCCGTAACTATCTCTACACTCGGAATACTTCGTGTGTCGCCAATTACTCAAGTGAGAAAATGGCGGCCCGCGAAGTACACGAGCCCATGAAGACGAACGGTGTCTGCTGTAGATTAAAGGATCTGCCAGACTCCGACGTCGAGCGCAGCGAACGCAGCGTAGCGTAGAACGTGCGCATTTCATTGTCCGGCAAGCAGGAACGGGACATCCGCGACCAATCAGTAGGGGTGCCCGCTGCGCCACGGTGCGCTACGCTGCGCTTGCTACGCTCGACGTTGGAACGTAACCGAGCTTTTAGAGATACCGTGATTAGAAGAGGAGGAGGCAGACGAGCGAGGAACCGGGTGACAAGAGAGCACGTATACACACCTTACAGTCAGTGTTTCATAAAAGGCCAACTTAGAGGCACTAAATAGGCTACGCTTCAGGGTGACGACACATCAGCCATTTTGGTTATTAAAATCATGGTCGCCAGGTAACTGAAGCTGTATCTGAAATCGCAGGAAAAGCTTTGCCGTCCTTCAGAAATGTTAAAACAGCTCGCGAAAGAACAAAGCAACATCACCTGAGCTTTCTAACACCGAATCTAAAGCTGAGGAAGTCTCATCCATGAATTGTGACGATCGACAGTTGCGTCTGCTCTGCACTAAGCACCAAGATGGCGGCGCACACTAGCAGATCGCTGAACGAAGTGCCGATACTCTAAGCGTACAGTGCTAATCACACTTGTCTATAACGCGCGAGCGTGCGGCTTTCTCCGGGGAGCGCTGGTCTGGTGGCATTCGCGGAAACCAAGCTAGTCACGTGGCGCAACATGGAACGGCCCACTCGAGGGGTGTCCTGCCCACTCTATCAGCTGGCGGCGAACGCGGAAGGCTGCTCGCACGGTTTTTACGAACATCATTGCTCGAACAATAAACAAACTAAAGCATGAAGGCGTATCAACGATGTAGTCATCAAAAAACAAAAATATATCATAAAGTACTTTACTTTTATCGCTTATCATGCTGATAAAGTGGGCAGAACACCCCTCGAGCGGGCCGTTCCATGTTGCGCCACGCGACTACTTTAGTTTCCGCGAGACTGCCACCAGTCTAGCGCTCCCCGGAGAAAGCCGCACGCTCACGCGTTATGGATAAGTGTGATTAGCACTGTAACCTCATTTAGTGGCTCTAGGTCAACCGAAACGGACACGTCTCGGGTTTCTCCTTTCACGAAACGTCTGCTACCAGAAATGGGCTCCAGTATTTTTTTCGAAATTTTCGAAAAATTTCTTGTAACTTTTGAATCAAATAACGTCAAGCTCAGAAACTTTGCCGTTTGCTCCCGACTGCTAGCGCTACATTTGGACGGAAAGGAACCATTCGACAATGCGCCTTAGTATCATTTTGCTGTGAAAAAAAGATTGGGTTCACCGTTCTCTCAGACGCTTGTTACTGCGTATATACTTTCACTTCTTTAAAAAAAAAAAAAAATTGTGCGAAGCAAAAAAGCGAAAGCAGCTTAGTTCCTTCGTGCAATTTTTATCACTTTTCAGCCGGGTGAGAATGCTCCTGCAAGAGGTTGTGATGCGTCCCTACACGCACGCCGGACCTTTCACCATCGGAATCTGCACCTCCTTCGTGCTCCTCAAGTACCCCCGCAGGAGGTTCTCCAAGGTGATAAGCGTGATTCTCTCTTACAAAGTCCTATATGTCTGGCGGCAGATATATCCTCTCCAAAAGTCCATCTAGCAACACTGGCGGGCGCCATATTTTGTGTATCGCTTACTGCGCGAAGCGTGCGGTTGGATCCGTGTTCACGCCCAGCGCTGACTCAGTAATCGTAACTAACGCATGCTCAAAGTGCATGCCCAAAATATGAATACCTCAGACGCATCAGCTACTTGGGCGCACGAACTTTTGAAGAGGGTCTACTGTACAACTGAAAATTTTGTTCACCTATGATTGATGCCTGCAGCTAGAAGTAAATCCACCCTAAAAGAAAAGTTCTATAAGTATCATTTGACTACTACACTGGAATTCTTAAACTTGTTGCGTCGTCTTCGCGAGGTACGCTTTCGGGAATGCACGCTGGCTCGTCCATATGAAACCTGATGTCATAAATATTCAATTCACAATGTCGAGGTCAACGACGCTTTCACTCGAAATGCTCCCAATGCAGACAACGTCTCAGTGAGGTAGCCACTTCACTCGGGGCTTCGTTTTGAACTACTAATTGAACCGCCAAGTACTACGACTGCACGATCCTTACTTCATTAGGATATTCTTTTATAAACATGTCCTATACTGGCTAGCATGAATTTTTCAGAGAGATTGCAACTGCACACAATTTTTTGCAACAGCCATCCTTAGCAGGAATCTTACTTATCCTATTTTCGGAACTATAGAATCGTGTTCGGTGCATAGTCCCCACTAGGTACTTTCTTCATCCATATTACTCCTTTTTAAATATGATACGTTGTTAGTTCCCCCGGAAGCAGCACTCTATGCTAATTAATAGAACAATGCAAATTGAAATTAGTCTTGTCACGTTTCTTCTCATTTGTATAATTATTGTCTTTAAGTAAACAAAAATGAGCTTGAATTTTTTTCCCATTTCGGAGGCGACAGTGGATAATGGAAGACTCCAAAGTCACTTATTTGCATGTAGCAATTATTTGAAAGTCGCAAGCAATTGGTGTTCGTGCTACCAAGATAACTCTTCACATATATTATCCGCTTGGTTGCAACTACCAAACGCGTCATTCCCAGGGGCACAGAGGGCGAAGTAACACACAGACATTCTCATTTTTTCTTACTGACTAATTCCCAGCGCGAAACACAATGGTTCCGACAACCGCATGGAAACAACCGCGCCGATAATAAGTACGGGTGGGCGACTAGCAGTTGGAATCAAATAACAGAGTCCAGTTTTTACCTTCCTCTCCATAAAAAGAGCCGGTATATCGTGGCTTATCTCTAAACTAGAAAAGCTACGAATGACGCAAGCGCTATTCGACTCGAACCCAAATAATATACGATTTTGAATAACAAATTGTCGTATAGTTTAAACAGTTCACACAGCGCAGAACTTTCAAACATGATGGCTAGACAGTCCAGGAAATACAGTAAACGTATTCGCGGGCCCTTCTCGTCGCCACTGCTGCAGTGAACGCCACAAGAGCGAAGACTGACGCTCGTCCGTTCTTGGCAGGTCTCGCAGGCCCTGCTGTGGGGCTCCTCGCTGTTGCTCATGGGGTCCTCGCTGCTGGGCACGTGGCGGTGGAACCGCAACATCGAGGCCAGCGATCTGGAGACGCTGCTGTACTCGTCCCTCCACCGCTCCGCCTGGGCCCTGGGCATGGCCTGGCTCGTCTACGCCAGCGACTCCAACCGCGGCGGTGAGAAACTCGCCCAGTCCCACCCTTCCTCTGGTGGCCAGGTCGGTCTTGGAGGGGGCCGTGTTAAAGGGACACTCCGTCGGTCTCTTTTCATTTCTTGCGGTATCTAATCTGCCTCGAAATTGACCGAAAACCCCGGTATTATGTCAGAGTAACTTTCTAAAACACGAAATGACAAGATGAGAAGAGCGTATTTTGGGCATGCCTGCAGTACGCGCTCGTTGTCTTCTGCCGCGTCATAGCCTCCTCTATACTCTCAAAGCCTGGCAATTCAGTGACGGAGCCATAGAGTGCCCGGTCGCAGATTTGGAGCGCGAGGATCTGGTAGCACAAAGAATCAAAAAGCCATTTCTCGGGGAACCTGGACGTCAGCGCACAGCCTTTGCAGCGACGAGGACCCGAAACACACTTGTTCGCTCGGGAGAAGTGTGTTTCGGCGTCTCGCCGCAGCGGGGAGCCAGTCACGTGGCTCTCCTCTCATCCGTTGTCTGCCGCTCCAAATTTTCCATTTCGGCGGCCGCTTCTCGTGGCCATGCATCTGCCAGGCTTTCTCGGTATATAGGAGGTTATGGCCGTGTACTGGTTGCCCATGAACGCTCAAGGCTCACGAGACGCTGGAGCGTTATCGAAGCTATAAGGAGTATAAACTGGCGGCCATATCTGTGTGCGCGGCTGCAGAGCGCATGCCGACTGCGAGCTTCCCCATTCGGGGTATTCACACGAGGGAGAAATCCCGGGGATTTCTCCCCGGCACGCGCATGCCACGACGAAAACGTCAGGCTTTGCGATGTGCAAAAGCCTCGCGTTTTCATCTCGTGATGCGCGCGTGCCGGGGAGAAATCCCCGGGATTTCTCTCTCGTGTGAATACCCCCTTTACGTGCATTCCGCACCATTAAGATTGCCGGTCTTTGCAGCCTATTAATTTGAGCACGTTCTGAGCATGCACTCTAAACAATGCCCTCAAATATGGCCCCCAGTGAATACCCTCTATAGATGCTCGCGCTAGAGGCAATGGAACTAACTAGGAATAAAGTCAGACACTGGTAAAGTAGCGCCATTACCTTCCCCGCCTGCAAACCTCGCAAGGTGATTGGCTGGTCGGTGTCAGTTGACATGGCAATCGCCATTTCGGTTCATTCAAAATCTCCGAAGCTTTGGAAGAGTCGTTCTGAACCCGTCGCGCCAAAATCTTCATGAAGCATAATTGTACTGAGAGCGTTCTACGCCAATATAAACGACTTTGGCGCTGTGCATGCGATGCGCTTATCAATCATGCATATCTCCACGGATCTCTTGCGACTGAATCGTCGTTCTACCGTGTTTAAAGGCAAAAAAATTTATTTTTCAATGCCTTTTTGCATCGACGCATGCATGTGATGGTGGTGCGATGTGCGCTTCTTTCGTCGGTGTGTCGATAACAAAATTAGGATTGGCTCCGCAGCAGCGAAGCCAATCCTAAGCCGTCACAACAGGCCTAAGAACCGGTCGTGCTGACGTCGGTTGTAGTCAAACGCATGTGTGTGAACGTGCCTTTCGGAAACGGATCTTGCTTTTACCCGTTGAAACACTTGCGTTTGACTACAACCGACTGAGACAAGACAGGTTTTTAAGCTTCTAAGGACAGCTTAAAAACCGGTCTTCTCTCAGTCAGTCGTGGTCGGTCGTCAGTGTGTAAACGGGCCCTTAGAGAGCGCGGGGAACTACGCCAGATTGTTATTTCGAGGCTGCGATAGTGCAAGTTGGAGAAAGTTCGCGGAAACCAGTCGAAACGCCCCCAAAAGACCGGCCACGTCGACGCTGCCATCGGGCGCTGCCACCTTGCTGCAGATTTCACTTATTTTGGTCAGCCGCAAGTGATGATAGCGCCTACTTATTGGCTCTTGCGAGCGGTAGTCTGCGCTTCAACGCAACAGTGTGTGCCAGCTTTGCGCAAACGCACTCCGCAAAGTTTTGGAGCCACCTGCCGCTAGTGAACGCATCGCGCTCAAACGGAAATGTGTGTATGGGTCTTAAGACCCTACGGAGGCAAGACTGTAACGACCATGTCGGCCATCTGCAACGGCGCAGGTCTCCTGAACCGGACCCTGTCGTGGCGGGTGTGGGTGCCGCTGAGTCGGCTCACGTACGCTGTCTACCTCATCCACCCGATCGTCCTCTTCTTCCAGTTTTGGACCATTCGGGAGAGGATCTACGGCAGTCACCTGACCATGGTACTAAGCTCGAGGCTGGAGTTTCTATCATTCATTAGAGTCAAGAGGTTTAGCTGCTATCGGCGTTGAGCACTTTTATAGCGAATAGGAAAACAGAAAAAAGCGTAGCATATGTTGAAGCGGAACTCGTGGCGTGCATGGCTCAACACAGGCATGTCAAATTTGATATCTGTTGAAGCGAGAATTTGGGATGAAAGTTTTATTTTTTTTTCCCTAAAACGTGTATATTGTGGGAAATAGTTCTTAAATTAAGAAACAATCATTTCACTTTCGGCACAATTTTAGTACTCAAGTTATTGAGTACGCATTAGGGGACGTGGAGGTACAGTACGTTTCTTTCCCCTGTTGGGTCTTACTTTGTTTGAACTCATCGTGTTTTTTCATCTTCTATTTTCTAACGCAAAATGACTTCTTGAAGCACTCTCAGATATATTTTGGCTGCGTTTGACGAAAATTGGGCGCTTACTATGTTTCATAGTGTGTTTCGAAGAAATGACGGACTCTGTCTCTTTGACAATGCCTAGCAGAGACTTGAACTATTACCAACTGCTAACTAAAATAATATGTCAAAAAGACCAGAATTAAATATTCTTTCACTATAAACTCAATATTATGTTATAAAAGGCACTGACTCAACTAATAGTGAAATATCCTCCTAATATAAAACACATTTAACACCAAGTTTCTAAACGAAAAAAAATTATTATTATTTGTTTTTATGTTTAGCTACTCGTAGTGTGACCTGGTAAACGGTGAAAAAACGTTCCGAATGCAAGGAGAACGCCACTCAAAGAACAACATAGAGAACGCCCAGGGATGGCGTGATGGCGGGACAAACTTGCACGCCGTTTAAACCACTACATTATTAAATTTTTATTAAAATTATTATTATATTATTATTATTAATTGTAGTAGTTGTAGTATTTATAGTATATTATTATTATTTGTTTCTAATCTTAACTATTATTATTTTACTTATTATTGAGGATTGATTTAATTATTTATAGTGCAATGGTAGCCTGGTTACGGTATTTCGTGGTGTTTTCTTTTTTGTGACGTCACATTTATTCATGTAAACAGCCCTATAACTAATTCTGCTTATGCCGCATACATATTCACGATCAACGTGGCCGTCGTAGGGCCTCCTCCCCCTTTCGTTTAGTAGGTCAACTGCAAGGGGCGTCTTGTGTCTGCACTGTAGATGAGAAGCCGGTGCAGTAGACCGCTAGCCTGGGATCTTTAACGTCCATCACGCGGCTGTGATACACGACCGGACGCCAGTACAGTGCCCACCAAGATCGAAACGGTCAGGGTCGGGATTGAACCCCTGGTTACCCCAGGCAGACTTGTACAAGTTACTGAAAAAATGTAACCGATTACAATTACCTCACTGCAAAAAGTAACCGATTACAATTACCTCACTGCAAAAAGTAACCGATTACAATTACAATTAGAGCCTAAAAAAGGTAATAAAAAATTACACTAATGTAATCAATTACTTCCCACGTTACTTTTCATTCAACTTTTTTTATTACGGTAGCATAATCCTTCTGCGAGCTGAGTGAGTGACGCCAACACACCCAACCCCTCTCGTGAAAAACAAAATAAAATAAAAAGAGCGCTGTTTAAATGCATTACTCACAAAAGGCTGGATAAAATTATTTTTCATATCCGAACGTAGTCTCCGGTGTATTAAAAAAAATGTACCCATGAAACGAAGCATAGTGAGTGGCCTACTAATGCTCGAGGTTCCTTGCTTAGTGGTTTGGAAAAGAGAAAAGAAAGAATTAACTGTTGCCCAGACGTGAGTGACTCCAGCACATCTAACCCCCCCCCCCCCCCCCCCCCCCCAAAAAAAAAAGAAGAGAGATTGAGAAAGCATGTATGCGTAATTTTTTAATCGATTACAGCAAAAAAGTAATTCAATTACAAAGATCGTTGCTCATTATAGGAAGTAATTGAAGCGTTATAAAATCACAGTAAAATTTTATTCATTACAAGTAGTTCATTACTTGTAACGCGTTACGTGCAAGTCTGACCCCAGGCTCAGCGGCGTGAGTGTTCGCTCCTTGTGCTCTGAACTGCCGCGCGTTCACATACTCGCACACCGATCCTCTCTCGCTAGATATCAGAGTGTTTTAGAATAGGCCGGCCCCACGTTTTGGCTCCCCCAAACAACTCGGGGCGATGCACTGCGCATGCGCAGAGCCCTTGCATATGCAGGGTGTGACGCCCCAAAATGTTGGGGAGACCCAAAGCTTTGAGGCCCCCATTCAGAAACTCCCTGCTTTGTGCTGCCGGAAAAGGCGAGGGCTCCGGGCCTTCGAGGCATACGAATTATCTTGCGTGTAAATCTTTATCCGATGTTTGCAGATTTACCTCTATTTGGGCAACATGGCCTTTAACATCGGAATGGCCGTGCCGTTCTACTTGTGCTTCGAGGCTCCGTTTCGCTCGATCGCCAAGGACTCCCTCGAGAAGCTTCTGGGCTGCAGCCTACGGCAGCGGAAGACATCGACGTCTGCCGCTCGCTGCGACGGGGCTAAGAAAGCGTGCGAAAGCTCGTCGAATGCCATACTGGACATGACGACGAGGAACGGTGACGTGGCCGCAAAGATGACCGCAGCGACGGTGCACTTGTAGCCGCAAGTCTCGCGACTCTGGTGTCTGGAGTGCGTGTCCAGCTGGTGTACATCGAGCGTAGCGTTCTCAAAAGTGGTTCTTGATCTCCGTCTGATGACGTCAAAGAAGTGTCTCGCTGTTGCCTGTGGCCATCGTGGCGGTGGCGCAGCAGCTCGGAGGCGAACACGCCAGGTGCCTGTAGGTTGCTCTGTAGCGAACCGTTCGACGGAAACCAAAGCAGATGCGAGACACTTGTGTCCGCTCGTCTTTTTCAACAGCATCTCTACGACCAACCGCCATGATCGCGACATCCGGCAGCACGATACACCGGCTCCTCTGACGTCATTTGTTGCCACTTCGGGAAAACGTTCGATGCATGAGCGGGACAAGGCACTGGATAAGACAGCAGGCGAAGACGCGTACCAGGCAGCGTACTCGCAAGAGACGGGCTGCGCGGATGCAGCATCTTGGGGCGTTAGCTCCTAGTCAAGACGCCCGTCGAACACGTCTTCAACGATGGCGGTGTGGTCGGCGCGTGAACCATGTCACGCTTTGTGTAGCGAATTCTGGCTCCCAGTCTGCGCGACCGTCGAAGCGAAGAATCCGGCCTCCCTCCCTGACTTCCCTTCCAGCGGAAGAAGAGCTCAAGTTCTGTGTTGTATATTTATATCTAAGTGCGTGAATGTGAACTTGCGCATCGGTGAACTTCCGGAGTTATTTGTGTTTTTGCATGTGCGTCTGTCTTGCAGAGGACAATTATTCTTTTTTTACAGCTACCATAAATTGTTTTTTATGCACCGTAGGCTCTGTCACTCTCAGCTCGTTGTAGCCCACAGATGATACAATCATAGTCGATGCCGCTCTGCATCATCGGATAGAGCGTGTACGCAATGCCAAGAGTAGACTCGCCGCGTCGAAATACCATGACTTGGGATTGAGCGTAGCATATAGCAACTGAACGGACTGAGTGCTTGACGTTTCATTCTTTATTTAATCGGCGATTTTATAATTGCGAGTTTGCACGTAGTTAGGTCACCGATGTCTCAGGAAGTGACGATGAACATTTCCACCATTGAATTTCCTCGCGGTGTCCACAGTGCTTCTTAAACGTGTAACCCTACAACAAAAGAAAAACTTACATTCGTTAGTCAGCAGCAAGCATTACCGAGCGTTAAGATCTGTTAAAAGCGCCAAAAATCGGATTACGAAATTGCATTCAAGATTTAAAGCTTGCAGACGAGTCAGTCCCAAAGCTTACTCTTGAGTCTCGCCTGACGTCATTTTGTTGGTGTTAAATAAACGGAGCCCGTGCCCGGCATTCCTGAATAAACCAGTTTATGTCTCCTTGCTTAACATTACTACTGCTAAGCGCGGTGTAACCGAAAGCACCGATTACATTGCTGCGCGCAGGGTCCGGGCTCCTTTGACGTCTGCCGAGTCGAGCTGACGCGAAATTATAGCATATTTCGCTTCACCCAAGTCCAGACGCAAGCGATGCTACGCTTTTATGTGATCAATCGGACAGTGTCAAAAGTGCACCGTCATAGTGTTCGTCATATTTTTGCGTGTGTTCTATCATCGATGAGCGAACGATTAAAAAAAGGAGAGGCCCGGTTACTTGCGCCTTTGACTCTGCTTGATCGGTCTCATTAGATCTTCGCGTCGGCTACGGTCGGCCTTAAAGTAAAAAAAAAAAAAGGAGTATATCTGCCCGCTCATTATTGCTTCACTCGCTACCCGCGATTGATTCTTAAAGGGACACTGCACCTCTCAAAACTTTTTTTTAAATATTTTTAGCCATGGCGATTTATTATGGTTTCAGAAGACTACCCTATCAATATTTTGCTACAGCGGCACATATATTTTTAATCGAGACATAAAACGCAACTGCTCGAGACCGAAACCTCCACGTGACATCATCACGCTCCGATGGCGCCAGCTCGGCAGTTGGTCCCGAATCCGAAGCCGCGCGTCCTTCGACTGATTGGACACGAGGCCTATTCGAACACTCGGCACTTGTGCCTTGTCTGTGTCTGCCACTGATCTCTATGACAATTGCTGGATCGCGTTTGCCCGCTCCGCGAATGCGGCCACTGACGGCCATCTTTTTGGTAGAGTTATATTACCTCTAGATAAGGTACAGCTCCTGCAGCTAGTATCATCCTCCATGGCAGACAGCGTTTTGGCAGGTGTGGTGGCAGGCCGCCGTCAAAACAGGGTGGGTGATATTTCGTGCTTGATTGAAATTGCTTGACGAAACATGTTTTTGAAACCCGGCGTGAACGGTAGCCCCATCTTTGAGGACCCGGTGAAAATTTCACGAAATCGCAGCACCGGGAAAAAACAGCACAGCACGCATCGAAAGTCGCATCGAAAGAAGCATCGAAAGCAGACGCCGGTACGAAGTCTGCTTTCGATGCGAGCTGCGCTGCTTTCCCCCGGCGCTGCGCTTCCGTAGAACATTCGCCAGGTCCTCAAAGATGATGCGACCGTTCACGTCGGGTTTCAAGAATATGCTTCGTCGAACAACTTCAATCAAGCACGAAATATCACCCACGGTACAGGGTACTAGATCCACGGCTATTTTATGGCAGCCTGCCGCCATTGCGCTGTCCGCCATATTGCTATGATGGCTAGAGATAATATAACTCTACCAAAAAGATGGCCGACCGTGGCCGCATTCCCGTCCATAGGCGGAGCTGGTAAAACGTGTTCCAGCAAATAGACATAGAGATCAGTGGTGCTTGCGCTCGATGTCACTGTGATCAAGTAGAAAATCTATGCTGTCGAGACCGGTTATTACAAAGTCAACGGGAATCGGAAATCACTTCGATATATCCGCTATTTCGTTATAACCGACATTGTTATAACCAGTCGCGACAGCACTTCGTTCCACTTTAAGTCCATACGTACCCGACGCTACGAGTTGATGGAAACAATCGGACAGCGCCAAAAGCGCACCATCGTGGTGTTCGTCACGTCTGTGTACTTGTTCCCTCATCGCTGGACCAATCATGTACAAGGTAGTAACAGTGACTTGCACTTTTGATGCTGTTTCATAGGTTCCATTAGGTCGTAAGTGAGCTAATGGAACCAGACGCGGTAAAGGGTATACCGTCGGCTACGTCTGGACTTAAGCTGCCATTAAGTGTCTTGCACGGGCATGTACAGGGTGCGGCCGTGAGGACTAAACTTTTGGCACGACTTGTAAAATTCGAATTCCAGACATACATACCTAAAATTGGGCACGTTAACATAGTTTCGCAAGAAGTTTTATGCCTGTGTTTTTCCGAGCTCAAGTCGGAGGTGGAAATATATTAAAAATAAGCAGAAACGGCGGCCGTGCATTTTCTACGGCCTATATTTAGGTGATCACTGTGCATATATTTCAGTAAAAGTATCAAGGCAGTTTGGTACTTTAGGCCAATGTTATGAATTTAAAAAAAAAAAAAAAACAGCGTGTGCAATGTACACCAGCTCGTTTGCGCCCTTACTTTTTGGATCTTGCTTCCCTGTCTCGCGCGTTGTCTGCTACCACTGCGTTGAAAGCTTCCTTTTCTTTTTTCTCTTCTTCCTTTTTTTTTTTACTTTTATGTGTATAATACCAAACAAAACATGATGAAGATGAAGTGTAATACACCACAGAGATCAGAGTCAGCGCATTGTGAGTGTTCTTTCTTTGAGTGTTTGAAATTTATTTTTCGTGCGTCTGTTTCCTTGCGTTGTGAAGTGAATAAGGGTGGAAATATGGGTCAGTTGGTTCATACTGACGAAAAGGCAAACAGCGCACAGTAAACGGGTACTAAAGGAAGTGCGAACAAGATAAGCGCTGACTCTCAACCGAACTTTAATCCCATGAAAACAAAACAAAGAAAACAGCAACCCCGCCCACGTCACATGAAAAAGATTGTTCTTTTGGACACATGGTTAATGTATCATGTGACGTAAGCGGGGTTGCTGTTTTCTTTGTTTTGTTTTCATGTGATTAAAGTTCACTTGAGAGTCAGCGCTTGTCCTATTTGCACTTCCTTTAGTCCCCGTTTACTATGCGCTGTTTGCCTTTTCGTCGCTGTGCAGTGTTAGTGTGAACCAACAACTCGCCCAAGCTCAAGTATTGCTATTCAAGCTTGGCGGGCTAGACAATCCGGAAGCAAAACTCGACTACAGCGCTGTTAGATCTCGTGACCGTCACTGAGCCCAAGTCGCAGGCGGAGCTGTGAAACTGAGCTTGCTCCAGTAACGTTGATACTGGCAAAGCCTGGCAGATCGTCGCGTGACGCGGCCGCCGAATGTGAAAAGGTACAGCGGAAGACAAGCGTCATGTAACGGGTGCCCCGCTGCGGCGAGACGCCGAAATACACTTGTCCCGAACGATGAAATGTTCGCTCGTGCTTCTCGCGTTTCTCGGGCTACCGCTTTTTTTCTCGCTGGGCTTGAAAACAATGTCTCGGGTCCTCGCCACCGCAAAAGCTGTGCGCTGACTACAGGCTCCCGAGAAATGCTCTGTGCTACCATATCCTCGCGCTCCAAATTTGCGACCGGGCACTCTATGGCTCCGTCATCGAACTGCCAGGCTTCGTGAGTATAGAGGAGGCTATGGCACTACCAACGCACGTCATCAGCGAAAAGGGGGTTCACAAAATACGTTTGAATATTTCGAACGTGGTTCCAACTTCGGAGCCAGCCGAAAATCAGAGCCAGTTCTTTGACTATAGCTCGTGCCTATGGTGCCTGGATCGCGTCTCCGATTGGTGTGTTTAGCGCCCTATGCTGCGAAGTACAAATGACGTCAAAGAAGCCGGAGTGTCATTCTGTAGCCTGTCACGATCCTGGCGGTTGGCCGCAGAAATGCTGGCGAAAAGCACGAGCGAACGCGAGTGTCGCTGTCGTCACGGCGTCCCAGGCGTCCCAACTGTTTCCTGCCGTATGCGGAGGGCAAGTTCGTCTGCTTCTTGCGCAGGGGGAGCGGTGACGTCAGAACGCCGAGCCCTGATTGGCTGATCGCGACCCCCTATTTGAGCGTCGTCTGCTCCTTTGCAACGTCGTCTGCTCGCAACGTCGTCTGCGTCTGTCTTACCTTTCCTGCGACTTTCCGAAGTGCAGAGGCCAGATTCCCGAAACGATTTTATGCCAAAAATGTACGTAAGACAAGACTTAAGAACAAATTCTTATTCACTAAACGAAATTTCGAAAGTTTTGCGCAGGTTACGACGAAATACTCCGACAGCTCCGAAGCTATCTCACGCACTTCTTACGATCAAATCAGCATGGCCGACAGCGTCGCGGTCGCGACGACCCACGGACGTTTATTTTTCTACATGCGCTTCACACGCGTCCCGACTTCAAGCAGCAAGAAAAAAGTAAAAAGTATTTGAAACAGACCACGACGAACAAGAACGCTGGATCCACAAACACCCGGGAAAAGCTCCAACGGCCACGATTCCACCGAACGCGACCAAGCGAGCACGGCAGTTAGGCCTAGCAGGCACTCCGCGACTCGGCGACCGTCTGCCCACGACCGGCTGGCGTGCTGAATGGAATATGCCCGCGAGACCCTTGTGAACCCTTCCCGTATTATATTTTGATCGCTGACCTCAATTTTAGATTAAGAGGTCAATTTCGTCTTGTTATCTCCTTGTTTCCCGAGGCAACGGTGATTTTCGCCGGTGAAAAAGCGGTGAATCTCCGGCAGACGCAGGAAAGGTAAAGCAGCAATCGCTTTTACTAGCAGACGTAAAGCAGACGACGTTAACTGCGCCAACCCGCCGACGCCGTCCGTTAAAGAATGAGGGGTCTCGCCGCACACGAAAGGAGGGAAAAATTATTTGTGAGGGAACTTGCGGACACTAACACGCTCACCCTCTCGGTTCTTAGCAAACAAACCACGGCGCCTCGGGACACCTCGCCAGTGAGTCCTTTGACTTCCCTCCTTGATGCGCGTCTGCTAGTTGTTAGACAAAAACAACGTACCGCTCGAGTTATTTCGTCTGCCCTCTCTGAAAGGCGAAGTCGAGCTCGCTTGTAAAGACTTCCGAAAATCGCAGGACAGGTAAGACAGACGCATACGACGTTGCGAGCAGACGACGTTGCAAAGGAGCAGACGACGCTCAATAGGGGGTCGCGATCCGCCAATCAGGGCTCGGCGTTCTGACGTCACCGCTACTTCCTTTCTCATGCGCAGGAGACGAAAATGTGCCCACTTGCGAGGCGTATAGCTTCCGTGGACTGTCGAAGTGAAGAGCGACCTGCAGCAGAACAGGCGTCTGCCACATACACCACAACTGCTGGGACGCCGCCAGGGTCGCGACCGGCGACAGCATGACACTTTTATGACGTCATCAGGCGGAAATCAAGGAACCACCTTTTGGGCGCGGTAAACAAACCAGTCGGAGACGCGTTCCGGGCACCGCACTCGCCCACCGCGCCGACCGTTGGTCCCTCCCGGTAGCGGCGGTTGCCGGGCCTACAAAATCTACCACGCCAAGATCGGCGGCGAACAGCCCGTAGGCCGAGTCCACGCCAAGCACCGGACATAC